TATATAAACTGATTTCTGTTAATATAATAAATAAATAGGTATATTAATCCTATAGTCTTTTAGTATATTTTCCAAGTTTAGAGACTTTTAAATTAATTATTTATACTAATTCTTACCGTGTAATAATATAATATTAATTAATCATCTCCTTTGTTAATTTATTATGTAAACAAGAAATTGGAGAAAGAAAAAACAACTTTTAGAAAAGTTAGCCAGAAAAAATGAAGCAAGTACTAGAGCAATATATAATTGATAGTAGCCTAGGCTAAAAATGACCAGTAGTTATTTGAAAGTAATAGGGAATTTTTCTAGAGATTCTAAAATTTCTATGAAAATGTTAAGGATATAATGATTCCATCTTTATAGTAATTTAATTTTGTATTCAGGTTTCTACAGGAATAATTTCATATTTGTGAATTATTAACTGATTAAGAAGTGTATAAATTATAAAAGGATTTACATGATTAATGGATTCCTAAGTTAAGAAAAAATTGGACTGATGATGATGGATAAATTCTTATTTGGATAGTATTAAAAATTTGTTCAAGAGATGGAATAAATATAAGGAAAATAGTAAATTTTCATATAATTTAAGCCTAATAAAATTTGGGAGGAGGTTGTAGAGTTAATTAGTCGACGTACAGTTGAATAATGCAAAAATAAATGGAACGGTTTATTGAAATTATCATTATAATAAATTCCATGGACTGAAGAATAAGATTTATTTTTGTTTGATTTAATAAAGTAAATTTAATTTTAATTATTAAGAAAAAGTAGAGAGGAGGGTAAATAAAACAAATGGTGCAGATTAGCAAATCTAATAAATATATAATTTAAAGAATCACCAAGAACAGGAAAATAATGTCGAGAAAGATGGAATAACCATTTAAATCCAGATATTAATAGACATCCATGGAATCTTGAGGAGGATATTGAATTATTGGAAATCGTTAAAAAACATTAAAGAAAATGGGCATTTATATCAAAAAATTTAAAGATTAAAAGAAGTGAAAATGCTGTTAAAAATAGGTTTAATTGTTTACTTAAAAAAAATCATTGTACTTCTATTACAACTCTCATTAATACCTTAAAGAATAGATTTAAAACTGAAAACCCTTCAATTCATTTATCAGCATTCAAAAATTAAAAAATTAACCTTTAATATAAAGACCAAAAAAAATAACATCATCTAAATAAGTCAAAGAATTAAACATAATTTACAATAGGAATGTTCAATAATTTAAATTTATCTGATTTGAATAACCTTTAGCCAGCCTTTTATAATCCAAATACAGAATCAATTATACTAAGTACAAAGTAATAATTATAAACCCTCCTTAATCATCAAATGGTTAAAGTTGAGAATGAAATAAATATGAATTTATTTGGTGAATTGAATATGTAGTAACCAGAACTTTCAAATCATCCATCTAGTCTATTAAATATTATTAATGATCCTTACAATTTCGTAAGATATGTACCTTGTGTTGTACCTAATTTTATATAAAATTAATAAGGAACTGAAGATAAAAAGTAATTTATAATAATTACATTTAGATCTCAATTTAATATTCCTGGTTTATCAGCCTAAAATAATTAATAATAAGGACTTTTGAGAAATAAAAATTCTAGTTCATTCACATTTTTTACAACTCAATAATAAAGTGATACTACAGATAAATCAATATAAAACAACAGTTCAATAGAGTAGCAAGATTTAAATAATCTGAGTAAATAATAAATTGAATTCACAGTCAATTAATGAATGAAACCCAATTTTTGTATAAGTGTATTCATTACAATAAAAATTTAAGTTTTAATCTAAAAATCAAAGTAAATGTATTTTTTAATTTGATTAATATTTTACAATGGATTTATTATAATTAAAGTTTTTAAATAAAGTATCCAATTATTTGATTTTTAAATGGTAAAGAGAATATGTTTTTCAAATCAAACCACTATATCAATTGAAATTTAATAAAAGATAAAAATTGGTAATTTATAATTTAAATAAAACAACAAAAAAATCTAAATACGCGTTTTTGTAAAATTAATTATTATTGTTATAATAATTTTAATTATAAACACAGAATAAAAAATCAATCATCTCATAAATTATCTTCCATCTGATTACTATTATTTATTCCATTATCCAGGTTTCTTTTTATTCATGAATGATTAGACTTTTTATTTTCTTTTAGTTGAACTTGCAATCTTAATATCTATAAATAATAATGGAATTCAAATACTTAAAGATACTCTAGGAGGAAATTTAAAACCAAATGATTTTGAAACTTTAACAAGATCTAGATTATTGACATCATAAACATCTTTGAGACTATGAGATTGATAAGACTAAAGAATATTTAAATTATAATTTACATGTAAATATGATCGATAAGCTTCGAAAGCACTTTTATTTAGGAAATAATTCTTTTCAATTAATTTTTCAAATTAATCTTAAATATTAGCTAATTTTTCTGAGGGAAATTCAAATTCATTCATTACTACTTTAGCCAATTTTAGATGAGCTAAATAACCTTTTTCTTCTGGTAATAAAAAAATTAAAGCTTTTCCTGAAGAATTTAATCCTCTACATGTTCTACCAACTCTATGAATATATTCTTTTGTATCATCAGGAGGATCATATTATATAATCCAATGAACTTCTGGAATATCTAAACCTCTAGCTGCTACATCAGTACATACAAGAACACCTTTTTTTGCATTACAAAATTCATAATAAGTGTTAGTTCTTTTACTTTGTTTCTATTTTCCATGAATATCAAGAACAGGCATGTCAACAAAGTTTAATAATTCAGCATGGAATTTAACAGAATTACAAGATGACATAAAAACCATAATCTTTTTATCTGAATTTAATTATAAGAATGTGAATAAAAGTAAAAACTTTTTATCTGCTTCGACAATAACATATCCTTATTCTAAACCACTAACTGTTGCTTCTTAAGCAATATCATCAACTCCTATGTAAATAGGTTAATTAAGAGATAATCTAGCTAAATCATCAACTTTTTTTGTTTGAGTTGCTGAAAATAATACAGTTTATCTTTCATTTGGTAATAATTTAAGAATTTCATTCATTTCTTCTTCATAACCTATTTTTAATAATTAATCAGCTTCATCAATTATTAAACATTATAAATTATGATAAATGAATCCTTTTGTATTTTATAAATGATCTAATAATCTACCAGGAGTTGCTATTAATATATTTACTCCTTTTTATAATCTAATTGCTTCTTCTTTTCTATTAGCTCCTCCTATTAATAATCCCAAAGTTTTTTAATGATANGATAAAAATTGGTAATTTATAATTTAAATAAAACAACAAAAAAATCTAAATACGCGTTTTTGTAAAATTAATTATTATTGTTATAATAATTTTAATTATAAACACAGAATAAAAAATCAATCATCTCATAAATTATCTTCCATCTGATTACTATTATTTATTCCATTATCCAGGTTTCTTTTTATTCATGAATGATTAGACTTTTTATTTTCTTTTAGTTGAACTTGCAATCTTAATATCTATAAATAATAATGGAATTCAAATACTTAAAGATACTCTAGGAGGAAATTTAAAACCAAATGATTTTGAAACTTTAACAAGATCTAGATTATTGACATCATAAACATCTTTGAGACTATGAGATTGATAAGACTAAAGAATATTTAAATTATAATTTACATGTAAATATGATCGATAAGCTTCGAAAGCACTTTTATTTAGGAAATAATTCTTTTCAATTAATTTTTCAAATTAATCTTAAATATTAGCTAATTTTTCTGAGGGAAATTCAAATTCATTCATTACTACTTTAGCCAATTTTAGATGAGCTAAATAACCTTTTTCTTCTGGTAATAAAAAAATTAAAGCTTTTCCTGAAGAATTTAATCCTCTACATGTTCTACCAACTCTATGAATATATTCTTTTGTATCATCAGGAGGATCATATTATATAATCCAATGAACTTCTGGAATATCTAAACCTCTAGCTGCTACATCAGTACATACAAGAACACCTTTTTTTGCATTACAAAATTCATAATAAGTGTTAGTTCTTTTACTTTGTTTCTATTTTCCATGAATATCAAGAACAGGCATGTCAACAAAGTTTAATAATTCAGCATGGAATTTAACAGAATTACAAGATGACATAAAAACCATAATCTTTTTATCTGAATTTAATTATAAGAATGTGAATAAAAGTAAAAACTTTTTATCTGCTTCGACAATAACATATCCTTATTCTAAACCACTAACTGTTGCTTCTTAAGCAATATCATCAACTCCTATGTAAATAGGTTAATTAAGAGATAATCTAGCTAAATCATCAACTTTTTTTGTTTGAGTTGCTGAAAATAATACAGTTTATCTTTCATTTGGTAATAATTTAAGAATTTCATTCATTTCTTCTTCATAACCTATTTTTAATAATTAATCAGCTTCATCAATTATTAAACATTATAAATTATGATAAATGAATCCTTTTGTATTTTATAAATGATCTAATAATCTACCAGGAGTTGCTATTAATATATTTACTCCTTTTTATAATCTAATTGCTTCTTCTTTTCTATTAGCTCCTCCTATTAATAATCCCAAAGTTTTTTAATGATAGAATAAGAGATCTTTTGCAACATCAAATATTTATTAAGCTAATTCTCTAGTTGGAGTTAAAACTATGATACCAGTTCCATTTTTTTATTAAAATTAATTTTTATACAATAATTCTAATGCTGGTACCAAAAAAGCTAAAGTTTTACCTGAACCAGTTTTTGCTGCTCCTAAAACATCTCTACCTTTTAATAAATGTGGTATTGTTCTAGCTTGGATATGTGTCATTTTAGAAAAATTCATTTTTTCTAATGCTTTCTTAGTAGGTTCACAAAGTGTGAAATCAATGAATTTTTTATCTGATAATATGGCTGTGTTCATATTCTTATTTTATTCTGCTTATTCTTCTAATTGATCTAAATTAGAAATTCTCACTTTTTCTTCCGATTCAGATTATTCTTGTTGTAATTACTCATTATTTTACACTTCAACCTTTTTAGATTCCTTTACTAATTGTTTCTTTTGTATTTTCTTTTTAATACTCTAAACTTTCTGAGAACCCTAGTTAATTATCATAATTATAAAATTTATGATTTTAATAATAATAGTTAAACCTTTAATTCTTTGTTAAAGATTTAATTATATATTACTTTTAAACTATATATTTATTGTTAGATTTTTCAATCAATATCTTAAAAAATTTATACATAGTATTATGATTATTAGTTTGTAATTAGATTGTTTATTTTATTTAATATTATCAATTATGATAAAAAAATATAGTATAATCAATAATTTAAGAAAATTATTAAAAAATATTTTTAGTTGTTTTTTAATAATGATGAGCTCAGTTAGATCGAGAGAGAATAGAAAGCATTCTTAAGTTAGCAAATCTTTAAATTTTAGTCTTCCAAAAAGAGCCTCATCATAAATAAAGTAATATTATATTTAAAAAAAATAGAATTCATCATTTACCTAGTATCTCTAATAATTCAACATGTTGTAGCAATTCGAATACTTCTAGTCCTCCATAAAGTTGTTCGAAATTAGAGGATGATTGCATTGATAGTAAATAAAAGTTTGATTACTAGTGTCTCCTGTTTCTAAAAATACATCATAAGATCCTTTGAATTATTTTAATTATGATGACTTCCAATATATTCTTCCAATCACTATTAATGGAGTAAAAATATTAAAACTTGATTGGAGTTACTTTTCAGCTCCTCCAAACATTTTATCACCTTGGAAAGCACATTGCTTTTGGACTGTTGGATACACTTTTGATATTAATATGAGAAAAATGAAAAAATCATAAAATATTAAATATCGACTCGTTATTTAAAGTTGGTGTTGTCTCAATAATAAATCTTGGGTAAAAAATAAATGGGATCGATTGTTAGAACATGAAACTGGACATTATTTAATTGGATGTTTATGTGCTTTAGATTTCAAATAAAAGTAAATATATTTCATATATTTAGAGCTGATAAATTTAAATATACTAAAAATTACAGAATGGAATGTACTAAATTGTTTTAAGATATATTCTAGTTTTATCTTCAGATGGAAAAGTAATATGATGAAGAAACAAATCATAGTTAGAATGTTTCAAAGTAAAAGGAATGGAATGAATTCATTAAGTCAGAACTTTTAAAATATTGATCATTTTATAAATCTATCTCATTAATCTAAAAAATAAATAAATCAGATATAAAAACTTTTTGATTTAAACTGAATATCTTGTATAATATAGTTTTTATATTTTAAATTTATCACAAAGGCTTAAAAGTAATTTTATCTCTTCCATATCCAAATTGTTATGAGTACATATTATATTGCTTTTTTTCAGAAAACTATTTTTTAGGAGTTGAATCCTATTTTGGTTTATTTTTTCTACAGTAATTTTTAACTGAAGCCTTTTTCATTTCAGTTCTTTATAGTGTTGATTCTTTTAAGAGTTGTAGTTTTTATTACATTTACAATTTTACACCTTCATTTTTTACTTGCTCTATTCTTTTTTGTAATTCATATTATAATTCTCTATCTTCAATTTATTTATCATCTAATTATTCTAACAATTCTTTTTCTTCTTAATCTTCTTTACGTCTTTATTCANAAGCATTCTTAAGTTAGCAAATCTTTAAATTTTAGTCTTCCAAAAAGAGCCTCATCATAAATAAAGTAATATTATATTTAAAAAAAATAGAATTCATCATTTACCTAGTATCTCTAATAATTCAACATGTTGTAGCAATTCGAATACTTCTAGTCCTCCATAAAGTTGTTCGAAATTAGAGGATGATTGCATTGATAGTAAATAAAAGTTTGATTACTAGTGTCTCCTGTTTCTAAAAATACATCATAAGATCCTTTGAATTATTTTAATTATGATGACTTCCAATATATTCTTCCAATCACTATTAATGGAGTAAAAATATTAAAACTTGATTGGAGTTACTTTTCAGCTCCTCCAAACATTTTATCACCTTGGAAAGCACATTGCTTTTGGACTGTTGGATACACTTTTGATATTAATATGAGAAAAATGAAAAAATCATAAAATATTAAATATCGACTCGTTATTTAAAGTTGGTGTTGTCTCAATAATAAATCTTGGGTAAAAAATAAATGGGATCGATTGTTAGAACATGAAACTGGACATTATTTAATTGGATGTTTATGTGCTTTAGATTTCAAATAAAAGTAAATATATTTCATATATTTAGAGCTGATAAATTTAAATATACTAAAAATTACAGAATGGAATGTACTAAATTGTTTTAAGATATATTCTAGTTTTATCTTCAGATGGAAAAGTAATATGATGAAGAAACAAATCATAGTTAGAATGTTTCAAAGTAAAAGGAATGGAATGAATTCATTAAGTCAGAACTTTTAAAATATTGATCATTTTATAAATCTATCTCATTAATCTAAAAAATAAATAAATCAGATATAAAAACTTTTTGATTTAAACTGAATATCTTGTATAATATAGTTTTTATATTTTAAATTTATCACAAAGGCTTAAAAGTAATTTTATCTCTTCCATATCCAAATTGTTATGAGTACATATTATATTGCTTTTTTTCAGAAAACTATTTTTTAGGAGTTGAATCCTATTTTGGTTTATTTTTTCTACAGTAATTTTTAACTGAAGCCTTTTTCATTTCAGTTCTTTATAGTGTTGATTCTTTTAAGAGTTGTAGTTTTTATTACATTTACAATTTTACACCTTCATTTTTTACTTGCTCTATTCTTTTTTGTAATTCATATTATAATTCTCTATCTTCAATTTATTTATCATCTAATTATTCTAACAATTCTTTTTCTTCTTAATCTTCTTTACGTCTTTATTCATCTTCCAAAATTTACTATTTTAATTGTTCATATTAATCAATTAAATTATTAGTATCATCATACATTAAATGTAATTTATCATCTACATTTTAATCATCAGGGTTTATCTTGAATTCTTCTTTAATCTCTAAATTTAATGCTTCATTTAAATCACCCTCTAAAATTTCTAATTTTTAAAGAATAGTTAAATTCTTCCCTTCTCTTTCAATATCTTTCACTTTCACTTAAATGTGATTAATCTCTTGTTAATAATCTTAAAATTCTTGCATTAAATCGTCAATGCATTTTTCATTTTTTTCAATCTCATAATTTATAGCATTCATCATTTTATTTTTTCTATCTTATTATCTCTTAATTATTCCTTTTTAATCAAAAAATTCTTCTAAATAATTTCTAGGTTAATAATGTTATAGTTATTCTATTTTTTTAGCTTCCTATTTTTAAGGAATATAATTGGTATAATCTTTTTCATCTAAATCTTCTTCTACAACAAATTCAGGTTATATTTTAACACCAACTTTTTATTATTAACCCTATTAACCTTTAAATCAAACCATGTACATACTTTTTCTTAATTCTTCCTACATTTTTTAAAATTCTAAAGACTGTTTATGTGGTGGTTTAAGAAGCTTAGGTATTTTGTACATTAATGAAATTATAATTCAAAAAATTAATATTACAATTCAATATATAATAAACTAAAATATCTGAAAATAAAATATGTTCAACCCAAACTTATTTTTATGTAGTAATTTATCAAATGATAAAGGATATTTATAAGCAAATTCTAATCAAAGACTTTTTATTAATATATTTATATCATGTATAACTAGACTATTTCTAAACCTATTTTATTAATTTTCATTGATTTTTCAAAATAGGAACCAGGAGAATTCTCTTTATTTTAATTTTCATTTTTGTAATTTAATTACTAAAAGAGATTAAAGTAATAGAAAGTAAACAATTTTTGAGAATAAAAATACATCTATATCTTATGAAATAAAAGAATAAATGTTTATTATGTATACAAAAGGTAGATATTAAGGAGTAGAATTGAATAATAAAAGAAAATAGGAAGAAAAATGAATTTCATGTTATGGATAATGGAATGAAATGAGATTATATTTTTAGAAATATTGTAAAAAGGCAAGCATGAGTCCTTATTATATTAAATGATTGATAAATAATTTAAGTTGGCTTGAATTAGAAAGTCAGTGTAAAATTATCCAGAAAAATAGTTTATTTGGCATCTGAATAAATTTAGAATTAATTAATATTGATTAGATCATTTTAATACGCATTATTTAACTTTTTCAAGATTTATGATAATATTATGTTATAATTGATTAATAAGTTTCTATTGAAGAAGAACTTAAGTGAAAGAATCGTATTATTGGTAAAATTGAAAGGTTGAGAAAGTTTAAATTGATTTCAGTATATGTTGATATAATAATTAATGAAAAGGAATTTCTAGTGGATATTTGTGATGATTAAAGATATCTTAATTTTGTTTATAAAAATTAGTGCTGTTTAATGTTAATATTAATGGATCACTTAAAGTCTATTTATGATTAATTTATTCTCATTAAATAAATTATTTTATATTCATAGAATCCATAATGAATTTTGAAGAATTGATGAATCCATTGAATGGAAATTTAATGTTGTAAAGAGTCTTACTGTTCAATATGCTATATTAACAATAATAAATTTAATCCAGTACAAAATATCAATAGTCTATTAGTGATTTCTTAAGAGCATTGTGTTCCGAGAGTGGATTTGAGAGAAGAAAATACTAAAACCTAGGATGATTCAAATTGCAATGGAAACATACAGTAATAGGATTAGCTCACAAAAAATATAAAATAATCTCTTGTTGGAGCATACACAGATTAACCTTTAAGAGTAAATAGTCATTTAGAAGATGATGATAGTTCAAGTAGAGTAAATGGTATAAATTTATTTGATAATTTCATAGGTCATTGGAGTAAGTCAGAGCATCAATTGTATCTTAAATTTGTCAATGAACATGAAGATATTTTGAGGTCTAAATATGATAAGAAATCAAAAAAAATCTTTAAAATGATGAGTTAATACATTATTACAAGAACAGCCACTTAATGTAGATCACATCATTAAAAGTTTAATCCACTTTAAAAAAGTAAGAGAAAAGGAAAAAGCTTTGTACGACCCATCCCATCTGTTATTATTTAAGAAAATTGATTTATAGCTGTTAACTATCATTTAAGAATTTATTTATCTATTATTTAATAACTTAATTCCCAATCAAGAGTCATAATAAATATTAAGAATCATAATCAAAGTTAGTGCTCAAAAAAGAAAAAATACTTTTATTCTAATGAACAAATGTTATCTCATTCATTTATTCTTCTGTTAAATCATATACTTAATTTATATTTCAAAATCACGATATATAATATAATTAACTGAATATAAATTTTATTTATTTATTTAATGCAAGCAAGTAATAAATTACCTCCCAGAAATTAAGCTAACTAAACATTTAATGGCAATCCTAATATTTTAATATTTTAGAATAAAAAACCAAAAGATTTAAGAAGATACACAACAGATGCAGAAGAAATGAAAAAATATTAAAAAGATTTTGGTTCCTAAAAAAGAAATGAATCAAAGTATAATTATGAATAGAATTTAGAGATGTCTAAAAATAAAATTAAGGTAAGTGTAAAAATAAAACAAATGATAAATAATTTGCAGACAATGGAAGATAATAACATGTTTAAAGTTTATCAGATAGTCAATCATAATAACCTCCTTTAGTAATGATAAAGTGTTAAGCTAAACCATAATTTGAGAATTTTAAGAATCATGTAAATACAAAACATCATAATTTTATTACTCAACAAAAAAGAAATGAGAAACCTCATTCATTTAAATATATTTTATAAGCAAAGAATAAACAAATATCAAATTGTAATAAGATCATTAAATTTAAGTATATTATGTTGGAGATTTGTAAAATGCAATTTTGAACTAGAATTCAAGAAATTCTGATATATTTAGGGAACACATAGTTGTTTCCTTTACATATATTCCAATGATATAGAAATCTAATATAGATGATAAATAAATTTAAGAGAAAAAATTAAATATTCCAATAACAAAAAATAAAAAATGTAATAATAACAGAATTAATGTAAAATAGATAATAAAACAATAATTTTTGATATGGATGAGACCTTAATGCACTGCAATGAAGATGAGAATGATAAATGTTAATTTAAAATACCAATAGAATTTGAAGATGGAGAAAGAATAGTAGCTGGAATTAACATAAGAAATTTTGCCAAAGAGATAATTTAAAAGCTTTGTGAAGTTTGTGAAGTTATGATTTTTACTGCATCTTAGGATATTTATGCTAACCAAGTAAAAATGAATTTAGCTATTTAAGGTTATAGATATTTTAGATCCACATAATAATCTTTGTTGTAGAATTTTTAGAGATAATTGTATTACAGTCAATGATAATCATTTGATAAAATATCTTAGAGTTTTGAATAGAGATTTAAAAAATGTTGCCATAATTGATAATTCTTCTTGCAGCTTTGCGTAATCTTTAAAATCAACAATAAGTTAGACATCATTTGGAGAATGGGATACCGATTGTTTCATTCTACAATGATGAAAAAGACAATCAATTAATTAAATTGTATCGATATTTATGTTAATACATTCTACCTGCTGAAGATGTAAGGCCTATCATTTTATCACACTTCAAATAAGACAAATTAAATTAATATGAGACAGTTGAGGATGCAGTAAAATAATTGTATTTTTGAGATTTTTGAGTCTTATTTGTTTCTGTAATTTTTGTTAAAACATATTTTAAATGTGAAAGTCCTTTAATTTAATACATATTTCAGATTAATGTTACTTGAAAGTGATCAATAATAAGACAGTTCAAACATTAATAATCAATAACTACATAAATCTGCATATGTACAATGTTTTATAGATATATTTTCAGTCAATAAGGAATCGACGAAAAATTTATGATGACAATGATTTTAAAGAGGTTGTCAAAAATTTTTATAATCTGATCTCAGAAATGAATAAAAGTATTTACTTATTTTTATTTGATTATAAGTTAGGAAAATTAGCAAAACTCATATAAGAAAATACCCAAAATAAACTAAATAGAGAAATGCAATTACAACTAAGTAACCAATTAAAGAACCCCAAACCACTAAAAGAGATCTTAATATAAGACCTGGATTAATGCAAGCTCAACAATAATTTTACTCATGTTTTAGTCAATAGATTGTAAATCAATTATTACCTTAATTCAATCAAACAAATCATACTCCTGTTATCTGTGAAAAAAACAAGCAACATCTCCATTTCTAACGTAATCAGTTTCATATACAAATTGCTTATCACATTTATATAAAGAAATTTGGTTCCTCCCTTGTTGAAAATTAGGATCCAACTTCTGTTGCCAAAAAAGTTATGAATACAAACTTCAATCCTAAAGTAATTATCCTTTTAAGAACCAGTCCTAATTCCCAGAGGAAGAAAAACAAGATGATGCTTCTGATGTTCACAATAAACCTAATGAAGATGGAAAATAGAAACCCTTGAAAGACTTAGTTCGAGAATTTTAGAGTGATTAATGATTTTCAAAAAATTATACAAAGTAAGTATATAAAATATATATATACATCAAATATCACAAATTATTTAACAAAACTTCATTAATTTTTTAGTAATCTTAATTTCAACTCCATACTTGTACAATAGATTAAATTTCCTTATTAGGTTTAGAATTAACTATCATATTTCGAGTGTTTTGTTATTCCAATATTTTATTTCTCAAAATATCATAATTAATAGGCTTTCTTTCAGAACAATGATCTTATATTTTATTAATTAAATTGCAAACCTTTTTAAATTACATAGCGTTTTTAATATTTTTCTTAAGAAACATTAATGTTTGTGGAATAGGGGATACACTTAATTTTTACATTTAATTTCTTTTATCTCTTATTGAGATATCACTACTTGGAGTTATAGTTTTATATATCCTCTATTTTTCATAAACTATCCCAATAATAGAATCTAATGGATCAATAAATTCATTGATCGATTTTCTGATATCTTAATAATTCAAAAAAAAAAATTATAATTAAGTTGACTATTCTTTTGCCATTTAATAAGCATAATACCAACATAAAGAGTTTTCTTAAAATTATGCATATTTCGATTATAGTATCCTATGAAACGTATTTCGAAATCTTTTCTGGAATATCATTTAAAGTAATTTTAGAATTGATTGGTATTAAATCAGATAATTTTAAGAAGCTTTCACAATTCTAGTCATTTTATAAAATACAACACAAAAATAAACATGAAATCTTTCTAAGAGTAATATTCTTATATCATTCAAATTTTTCTAAATTTTTTTCAAATCTTCATTATTAAAAGATTCAAACATTTTTCTTTTAAAACTTGGATTAAAGTTCATGTATTCCATTAATCGCAACATAGATTCAATGAGGGATTCAATCTCAGAATCAGAATTTTTTTTTAAATTTATCATATTAAATTAAATATACATCTTTCTTTCATTGTAATTAATGATGCATAAACTTTGATAATTTTTTAATGTGTTTTCACTATTTTTGAATTCTACCTTTTTTGGACTTTATTGATATTTATTGTTTTGAATTATTGATGAAGCTTACAATAAATTTCAATGACTTTCAGAAAGTTTATCAATTCAATAATCTTTTTTTGTTTAACTTTTTATAAAGAGTAATAACTGAATTTTCATCTTTTTTTGAAATCAATTAAAGAATACTATCCAAATCTGAAGCACTTACTATATCATAATTAAATGTCTAGAGGGTTAATTCTACTAATTTTTCAAGATTGGATATTTATTTATCAATCATTAAATAAATAATAAAAGATAGTCTAGAATAAATTTAAATAGTTTTTTTAAAGATGTGATGTATTATTGAGTCTGATTTGCAAATATTCTTAAAATAAAAAATCTATTCTAACTTATTATATTTATTGATAAACACTATATTCTAATATTTATAACTTTTAATTATTCGTAATAAATTCACATAAGTTACTTTAATAATTTCGAAATTGACATAAATTACCTCATTTATTTTTAATTATATTTGAAGTCATAATCAAAAGAATATTAAATAAATGACTTTATTAGAATTCCTTCTAAATGCATTTCGTTTCATAAATTCCTAACAGGGTTATCTTGATTATTCATCAAATTTTTGAAAATAAGAAGAGTTTCTAAGATAAGATATAATCTTTGGGTTAAGAGTTTCTTAATAGTAGTTGCATTAAATCTATTAATCTAGCTTTGTCATTAAATAAAATAAAGTTCGTTATTTTTCTTAGTAATTCTTGTTTATTTCTTAGTAGACTTTAATTTTTTTAGAGAGTATTGTTACGATATAAATTAATTTAAATATTATAAAAATAATCATTAAAGTAAATTGATAAACAATCTTGTTTACTAAATATAATTGATGTAATTTTAAACCTAATGGTGATTAGAATAATTTTTTTAATAGTTTCTTTGTTAATGAAAAAAGTTCTTCATGGTGATAGTTTGATTATAATTTAGTTATAATTTATTGATATTTTAATAAGTACAGAATTTAATTATGTATCAATAGCAAAATTGAGGACAGTGAGAAATGTGAAAATAACTTTATTTAAATTTTCATTAATAGATTATGGTACAAAGTTGTTATGAAATTAGTTATTAGTTTTGAGGTAGGTGTTAAAGAAAGTTGATAATTGATGTGACATTAATTATAGACAAGGTATTTTGAGATGTGATAAATTTAGAAACTAATTTGATATTAAAATATATAGTTGTGGAAAAGAAATAAATTATATTCAAAATCTGATCAAATTGATAAGAGATCTCATTGTTTTCTAAAATGACTGAATTGTATCTGTTTATCAAAGCTTACTTTTTTATTTGACTTGATAGATCCAATTGAAAGTTAATCATTAGAGATATGATCTTAACTATGATTAACATTTTTATTAATTTTGAGAATGGATTTAGGTTTGAATAAATCGAAACTGGAATTATTAGGTTCAAATGACACATTTTATATATCATTTAATTATGATTATGCAAAGGTTTTTTTAAGCCAAGGTTGTTCTAGATTATTATCAATTTCTTCAGATTATTGAGCTGTGAATGATATTTTCATTTCATCAATATCAGTTTTTTAAATTTAAGGTAGCATAGGCGAATCTTCTTTGTCTATAACGTCGTCTTCTAAAATGATTTTAGAGACTTTTTAAAGTTTGATCATGCATGGAGGTGGTTGAATAAAAACTTTGACTTCATGCATAGTATTTTAACGTTATTTTGGACAGATGCTAATTCCCATTAGATCTATTTAGATTTAAATATTAATTATATAATAAAATAAGGAGAAATGAATTGTAATATTTAACAATAATATTTTGAATAGAATACAAATTGGTTGGAAAGAAAGGAGAAGGAACATTTTCAGAAGTGATAAAATCATAATCATTTAAAACAGGGAATTATGTTGCAATAAAATGCATGAAAAATAAATTTACATCAATTGAACAAGTAATTAAAATGAAATTAATATTTATAAAGGTTAATCATTTAAGAGAGATATAGGCATTAAGAAAGCTAAGTCCTCATGATCACATTATCAAGTTAATAGAAGTTCTTTAGTATGAAAATGAATTAAATTTAAATTAGTGATGAACCTACAGGAAGATTAGCTTTAGTATTTGAATTGATGGAATAGAATTTATATGAACACATTAAAGGTATTATTATTAACATTTTAAATAGGAAGGAGATAACCCTTAAATCCCTAAAAAGTTAAATCTTTTATGTACTAACTGCTAAAATCTATTGAACATATGCATAGAAATGGAATCTTTCATAGAGATATTAAACCGTAATCAATATTCAAATTATTAGTGAAAACATTCTACTAAACTCAGATCATCTCAAATTAGCAGATTTTGGATCATGTAAAGGAATTTATTCAAAACATCCCTATACTGAGTATTATAATATATTATTCTAGATATATATCTACAAGATGGTATAGAGCCCCTGAATGTTTATTAACAGATGGTTACTATGATCATAAAATGGATCTCTGGGGAGTAGGATGTGTAATGTTTGAAATTATAGCTTTATTTCCACTCTTTCCAGGAACTAATGAATTAGATTAAGTTAATAAAATACACAACATTTTAGGAACACCTAATTAAAAAGTTTTTGATAGATTCAGAAAGTTTATTCTTATATAATATTCTAGATAAGCTACACATATGGAAATCAATTTCCCACCTAAACATGGTAGTGGTATCGATAGATTACTACAAGGACAAAATAAAGAATGCATTGATTTAATTAAATTATTGCTTATTTATGATCCAGAAGAAAGAATTAATGCTTAATAAGCCTTAAAACATGAATACTTTCGTGAATTATTTGAAGCTGATACATAGAAAAGCTTTTAACATACTTTATAATAAATCAGAGTTTCTAATCATAGAGAATAGTATCTATAAATAATTACATTTTAGAAATGATAACTCACTTGAAAGAAGCCAAAGAATTGAAGAAAGCAAATAATAACATTAGTTGAATTTCAAAAAAACTTAAAATTATTATGCAAAATCACAAAAAAAATCAGGAGTATATTCTCACTTATTATCATTTTAGTTACCTTCTTTACAATTTGATTTGAGAGTAGAAAGCATTTATAAAAATACTTAACATCATGACAGTGATGATGATCTTGAAAAATAATCATCTAATAAATAAATGATGCTACCACAAATACCTAAATCCAAAAAATATGATCCTAAAAAAATATATGGTAAACAATAATATGGAGGATCATCAAATTAACCATATTAGTTTAATTCCAAAGGTAATACTATATTAACTTAATCAAATAGGTAAAAAAGCCACACATGGTCTATAAGGTGAATATATAGTTTTTGGAAAGAAAGCAATGAATTAATGATATATTTTAAGTTTTTAGTTGGTTGATCAAAACATTTTTTGTAATTTTTAATTTTCAATTAAAAATAATTTATAAAATATTTATTATCAATATCAACTAAAAATATTAATGCAATTTTGGATTCCTTTTTAGAATTTAATTGCTTATCTTTTAAAAACAAATTATTTTATTTCTATGAACACAAATTTTAGAATTAATCATTAATTTTTTTACTCATCTTCTACTTCATAGATTGCTTAATGTTATTGATAATTTTTGTAAGTAAACTTTCTTTTTAATGTTTAGCTCTATACAAGTTTAGGACTGTTATTTATTATTAATGTTGGATGTTATCTTGCAGAATCAGGTGAATTAGTATCAGGTGATTGTTAATCAAATTCTTGGGTTGAAAATTTTTTAAATGCACTCTTTTTAGGATTTTCTGTAGGTGAACCATCATTTAAAGCTAAATTTTTACGTTTAGCATGTTATGCCAATCTTGGACTATTCATTACTGGAACTTTAATTTTAATTTTTTCATCTTCTACTTCATCTTCATCTTTTGGTCTTGTTTTTTATTTTATTTCAGGTAATTATAATTTATCTGATTTTTCCATTCTAAATGTTGAAGTTGACCATAACTTACCTTATCCTTACCCTGGTCCTTTTTTTTAAGATTAAAATTTCAATTTTCTATCAGTAAAACCTCCCGAAAAAAATGGATGATCTAATGCTTATGATGCAGTAATTCTTTATTATGGATCAATCTATAACATCATTTAAATAAGTTCCATAGCTGCTTATGGTGTTCTATAGATGCTTAGATTATCTAAATTTATAATGCATTTCTTATTTAACTTTAAGATTTCATGATAATCATTTCCTGGAAATAAATCCTTTTAAGTTATTCTAATAAATTTAAACATTAAGTATATACAATTTATAGAATATACATCCAACACTGAATAGATCACATATCTTATCATATTTAAAACTTAAATCTTTTAGATTTGCTATTTCTGGTGCTACATATCCTGGTGTACCACATTTAGGAAAAGGATAAATAGAAACCTAAGTATGTGTTGCTAAGCCAAAATCTACTATTCTTAATCCAGTTATTTGATTAACTTCTTTAAACATGATATTTTCAGGTTTTAAATCTCTATGCATAATATCTAATTAATGCATTCTTGCAACTCCTGTTAATATTTGCTAGAAACTAAATATTATAATAATACCCAAAGAATAGATTTAATCTGGTCCCAACTTAATTATCCTATTTATCCTCGACTTATGAGTTCGTGTAATGAATTACCTTTTAAATGTTCTAAAATTAAATAAAATGTATTTTCTCCTTCGTAGACTTCTTCCAACTTTACGACAGAATCATGATCTAATGTAGCCATTAAATTTATCTCATTAAATAAGGCTTGCTAACAATATTTATAAAATATTACAAATCCACCATCTTCTTTTAAATATCTCTTTTCAACACATTTTGATGCATAATCTTACTTATTATCCTTATCAACCACTAAATATACCTTATATGTGTATGAAATTTATACTTTTGAAGATCCACCCTTTCCTAATAATTTCAATGGTTAATAGAAATCACTCACATCTTTGAACATGACTCTATTTCTTAGATGAAATTTCAATTTACGAAGTTCTTCATCTTTACCAACAAAATATTTGATTGACCCTTTATACTCAAATCCAAATTGACTAAGTTATCTGTCCTTTTCTATACTCAAACAAATTTTTGTTTCTAAATTCAATTACAGTTAATATTTTGGCTATTAAGATTCAAGTTCCTTTTATATTAATATATATTTTTACATTTGTCAGAATCATTGTGTCATCAATTATATATAAAAAGTAAGTGATATCTTTGAGTAAATGTTTTCTCTGACAAATTGTATGAAAACTGGCTGTTTCGTAATTTATTTGTGATTTGCTTTACATCCAAATTATATTAATATTAGTAAAAAATATTTTTTAAAATACCCTGTTTAATGTAATGAGAATTAATAATTAATCAGAATATTTGATCAAACTTATTTTAATTATTGATTATCTACAAAAGACAAAATAAAAATCAGAATAATAGTAAGCACTATTTCAGTATATGTTCATACATATTATTAAAATAAAATTATTAAATATTTCAGAATTCTTCATCAGATATTACTTCATTAGTATTAAAATATGATTTTGATATTTGAGTTTACATTATACCAATTTTAATATTCATATCCTTTATGTCATTCTATCATAATTTAAAAAAATCAATACTCTCAATTAATTGATTAATTATTTTTATTTAGATCTATTGTCAACCAAAATTGGTGTTCTTTCTTTTATATCAGTTAATTATTGATTTAATTATTAATCAATTTCTAATTTTTCTGTGTTTCCTTTACTCAATTGAGATATTTGCAATTACAAGTTCGATATGGTATCTCTGTTTGATTTTAAGGTGATTTGAATATCTTCTGGTATTTATTCAGTAACTTTGGTTTCTAATTTGGGTAATAATTCCAAATAGTCAATCCATTATTATTAAATTTGTTAAACTTCATTAGATTTCAAGTGTTCAGACAAGAGTGATAATTACTAAAATAGAGATAGAATTACTTTGGAACATTTAGAGATGGTGATAATGGTTCTTTCATAATCTTTTAAGTAATGTTTATTAACTTTAAGATTAGCTTCAAATTTAGAAAATTCTTTTTCTACTCTATTAAATTCTTTAGTCCATTCATTGATAGCTACTTTGGTTTCAATGATTTATCGATCTTAAGGAACTTGATTATAATCAGTTTGTTCATTATTATATTTCTTATGATAAAATAGAATACTCTAAGTTAAATCATCTTATTCAACTTCTTCATTTTCATTATGTTCTTCTTCAATTTCGGCAAGTTCCTAATCATCTATTTTGTTAACTTAAATAACTGAGTTTTCTAAATCTTTACCAAAATTGGGAGTATCAAATTTAAAATTGACTCTAATTAATTCTCTATTAAGTAAATCATTTAAAATGAAACAAACCATATCTCCTTATCCTTATGAGATATGAGGAGATCCCAATTATTCTGGTAATTTAATACCCCAAGCTTTAATATCAATTAATAATTTTTTAGCAGTTTCTTCAACATTATGATAATTAAGTTTGATAGGTTAAGCTAATTTACTTTTTTTTTATTTAGGTAAGCTCATAAGCCAATAACATAATTCAACAAAATAATAAAATCTTTAATTTTGATTGACATTTTCATCTAATGAGAAATAATATTTGGAAACAGGTTTCTTTTTAAGAGGGATACAGAAATATTCATGATATTGAACCAATGATAATTTTTCATAAATATCCTATTAAATAATATATTATGATAGATAACCTCCATCATTAAAACATTAATAATTTAAGGAGTTTTTTTGGTATCTAGAAAAGTGGAATGAGCGTCTCTAGATTTTTATAAGACAGTAGTAGCATCAAGTCTTTTTTATGGATCAACTACAATCATTCCTTCTATGACATCTCTCAATTATTAACTATATCTATTAGAGATTGGTTTGAATTCTCCTTTAGTGATATTATTAAATAAATCCATGAGAGACATCTTTTCACTTTATTTAAATGGACTCTTGAATTCAGCCATCTCATATGCAATGCATCCTAATGACCAGATATCTGATTTCATATCATACCCTTCCCCATGAAGGAGCTCTTCTTTTTTAATGATAATTTACCTCAGGTGACATATACAAAGGTGTTCCCACTTTTGAATATGCTTCTATTGTCTCTGATGAAAATATACGACCCAATCCGAGATCTCCAACTTTTAATGTACCATCTCCACCTATAAATATATTTGCTGGTTTCAAATCTCTATGCATTATTCTCTTTTCATGCATATGTTCTAATGCACTCCCTATTTGCATTATGTAATTCCATAATTACACCTCTTCAAATGGAGTATCATCTTATTATGCATTTTTTATTAGTTTTTTCAAATCTCCCTTCTCAGCCCATTCTGTTGCTATAATCAGTTCATTATTATATATAAAAGAGTCTAAATATTTTATTATGTTAGCATGATCCAAAGGTTGCATTAATTTCACCTCCTTTAAACATTTCTCTCTCTATTTTGGGTCCATCATATCAAATATCTAAAATTAATTCATTTATCACTTTTATCTTTTTTAATGCCACTACATTCCCTTCCTTATTCATTGCTTTATACACTGTTGAAAATTTACCCTCACCTATTGCTTTCTATACCTTATATCCATTTATTTCTTGATCTATAAATTGAGACATTTATTAATTATGTTAAATACTAAACTAACTAAATTCATTTATTCAAAAACAGATCAACTCAATTCAACCATTAAATCTACACAAAAATCATAATTTACTAATTAAATTAAACATGCCAAACAATACCATTTAAAAACCTTACTTTTCTAGTCATGAGTATTAAACTTTATATCTAACTATATTAAGGATATTCAGAAACTACTTAAATTACTAAAGAATTAGATCTTACTTAAAATAACATTGTTCCTATTCTTCTATTCTTGATTAAATCAATAAAACTATTTAAAAAAGGTACAGATATTATTAATTCTTAAATTTAAAAAACATCCAATTTAGCAAATTAATAAATACAAAAAGTTAATGTAAATTTTATTATTTATCTTTCAGGAGGTTGTCAGATTATAATTTGAATAAGCATTACAAACTATTTAATAACAATATGATAAAAGTATAGAAGCAATTAAAAAAAATTAAAAAATATATAATCTTTTGCAGTTTAAGCTGTTGTTGTTGGAACTGCAATAAATTAAATTATAGAAACACAAAATAATAATGATGATAAATAACTAAAAATGTATGAGAATAATAATAATGCAGATTCAAATAAATAATAAGAATTAAAACTGTCTTTTAATAAATTTAAATGAGATAAAAATCATCCTAGAATTCTTTTGAAATGATACTCAATTATTGCAAAAAATTATAAATAAATTTAAGACATTTTAATATCAATCATACATAAATCAAACTAAAAAATTATAGATTAAGTATTGGTAATTCTTCAATAGTTTTAATCATAACTTAAATATGAAAGAAGGAAATTAATAATAAGATTAAAGTGAAGTAAAAGTTGCAGTATAATTGTTACAATAAGAATAATGCTAAAATTTTAGTAACCTCGGGAATGAATATTAAAAGCACGTCTCAAATATCTAAACACTAAAGAATGATTTGTAAGGAGAAATTAAAGATAAAATAATTATTTATTAACAAATGAATAAATCGAAAATTTCTGATTATTTCATGCAATTATAAGGGTAACGAAATTTGAAATTCAAAGCTGTTGAATAATTTTATAAGGGTTTCATGCAATATGAATAAATTTATCGTTAAAATGTAAAATGTATTTTTGAAATAGGACAATAATAGGTGAAGGATATGTAAAATGAGGAATAGAGAAAGTATTGTAATTAATTAATTAAACTTAGATTAATTTAAATAACTAATAAAACATTAGTAATAGTTTGGATTATTAACAGCATATATTCTAAAAGAAATATAAGAATTCGAATATAACAGAATAGAATTCCTTCAGAAACTAGTCTCGTAATTAACAATAGAGTTAGGAAAGTGTTTTCAATTTGCAAATTAAAAAATAATTGTGCAAATATTGGAATAAGCTAAAGAGGCTTTTAATATAAATTAATTGTTGACATCAGAATAACTTGTTTAATTAAGAAATACGCAGAAATTCCATTACAAGAATGAAATTTCTACAGAAAAATATTTAAGATTTGCTTCTAGTTCAAGTAAATGTAATCCTAATAATAGTGTCTTCTCCTGAAAATCTATTATAATAATCGCATTTGATTTTGAAGAAGTTCAATATTCAACGAGATGTTGTTTGGGAAAGATCAATACGTTTTGGCAAAGATTTTTTTATCAACTACTTTTATAATAATAGTTGATGGATTTAATTATTTTATGATACAGAATGTAAGGAATAAAACAATGAAAAACCTATTCAATGTAATAATTTTATGGTAATGAATGAAGTATTAAATTTGATTCAATTTAAAAGTTAGCTATAAAGGAAAGCTAAAGTGATGAGAGTGTTTTAGAGTTGATTGTAAAAAAAAAAGGGAAATTCTTTGATACACATAAGAAGTTAATTTTGAAGATGAATGACGAAATGGAGAAGAAATCGTTAAAATTATTACTAAATTATTTAAAATGATTTATTATAAAAATAATTGAAACTTAAAATAAAAATTATATAAATAGACTATCACTATCCTGATAAAATATATTAAGCATTTGATGGTTAGTTTAAGTATTAATTATATTAAATTTAGGACTGTTCAAATTTTAAATTTTAATTAAAATTATTATAAAAGCCAGAAAAATTATCTTGGCTAAAAGCAATTTAAGAAGTATTATATTTTCTTTCAAATTATTATAGTAAATCTTATTATTAAAATTAAGAAGTTCATTCATTAGGTATTTGATAATTTTTAGATCTTTATTAGTTTTGAGTTGATGCCTTAATACTTTGATCAATAGAATTTTAATATTTTTAATTTGATGGTATTTAAGCAGGTTTAAAACTCATAAGTAAAGTTTTATTTTAAGTGGTTTATATTTAAGTAGGTTCGAATATTTTTTAATTTTAATTTTGAATAGATTCATTTTGTTATTATATTTTAGTAATAAAATCTTATTTATCAGTTAAATTGATAACTTTTAAGTAGAATTTAATTTAATTTTATGTTATTCTGGTTTAAAATGAAATCATCTTAATCAATAATTAAATCTTTGCCTAACAATTAATCTAATTATTAATCATGATTAAGACATATTCCTAAAATCCATCTCTTGATGGTTACATTTCTTTAATTAATTCTCTGCTTGGAAATATTAAATCACTAAATTCATCTTTTTGCATTATTGTATCTTCTGTTTTATTAAATCTCTTCAGAAACATATTATATTCTTATTAAGTTAATGATTAAATTTCAAATTTATTTAATAATTAATCTAAACATCGTTTATCTATAATAGGTAAATTACCCGCAATATACTTAAATACTGTAGTGAATTTCCATTCAACTAATTAAGCTAAGTTCATTTTCTCGATTTCAATAGTTCTTAAATAATCTATTTCTCTCTATATCAATTTTGCTACAAATTCTTCTAAATAAAATGACAATTTATCTATAAATTGTAGATAAATTTTCCTGTTTCTGAATATATTTTTCTAACTATACATTACATAGCTACATCTCTATTATATCTTGGAACTATAAATTCAAGAAATAATTAATATCTTAATTTATCATCTTCATTACTCCAAGTGAATATCCAGAAATCACAAAACTTTTAATGAACACTATAACCATTCTTACACATAAAACGAAATATATCTTAAGATGTGATATATCCTTTCATATTTGAATCAATTGCTCTAAATGCATCACTAATATCAAATCGTATATTTTCTGATAATGTTATTTTCAATTCCTCAACCTATCAAATTTAATACTTCTCTTTCTGTTATCAAAAATGTTCTAATTATTATTATGAGTTTCTCACCTATTTTTCTTTATTACTCATTTTCTGTGATTGTTGGGTTTAACATTTATATTTATTAATTAATATAAAATTCTTCTGATCAATTACTTGAATTTATGGAATTGATATTAGTTCAATAATACCATCAATCTTATTTATAATTATCTCCATTTAATTAATAATTTTTAATTTTTATTAAGTAAATGGATAAACTGAGCAAGAATTTAGATAAATTTTACACTTAAATTTATAACTAAAAAAAAGTAGTGAGAAATACTTCCAGGGATTCAAATGATCCATCAAATACTTCAATTGATATGTAAATGTAAATTTTATATTTATTTATTTTAGAAATCCTTAAAAATAATAGAAAAAGAAGACCTATATTTTAAAAGAAGATTGATGATAAATTTATATACATTCACATCAAAATTTTACTATAAACTTGTTACTTTTTAGAAAAATTCTTTCTTTTCATTCATTTAAAGTGTATTACTTTATAATTATTTACTTTACTGAAATAAAAAATATATATGCATTACAAATAGATTCAAACTATACTAAATACTTATCAGCTAATATAATCAATCATATTATTATTTTGTATATTCTTTATTCATAGATTATGCGAATGGTTCAAACTTCTATTAAATCTCTTCAATTTTTTTATTGTAAATATTTGAATCTTCATCTTAATGAGATTCTAACCATTTTTCTTAACGATCAAATTCATCCATTAGAATTCTTTTGTAATGATATATTATAGTCTCAAATTTATTTTTGGCTTCAATTTTCATTTTAACTTTTACATCATTATTCTATAAGGTTTCAGATTCTTCAATTAATCTTTGAATTTCTTCATCTAAAAGTATTTATTATTCATATTAAACTGAAACATCAAGTTTTTGTTAAGATATTGCATCTTCAGCAGATATAACAAATTAATTATTTTCATCAATTCCAGGATAAATAATTATTTCACTTTGAAGATCATGATTATTATTTCTATGAATTTAAATATATCCTAATTTTCTACAATTTTCTTTTTACTTCAATTATTCTCCTTAATATAAAAAGATTGTTAAAGTTTTTAAATTTTCTTAATTAAATTTTAATCTTTATGATAATTTGCATGGAAGATTAGTATTTTTATTAATAATAAATGATTCACAATAATCATTAATTCCAATTCCCAAATTATAAGGTATTATATCAAGTAATAACCATTTTTTACAAATTTAAGATTATCCTTTAAGAAGTGCAGCCATAAATGTAGCACCATAAATAGCTGCTTCATCTTTATCGATTGAATGATAAAGTTATTTTCCATTGAAATATTCCATCAATAAGTCTTGAATCTTTGGGATTCTAGAAGATCCACCAGTTAAAATAACTTAATCTATTGAAAATTTAGTTAAAGAGGCTTCTTTTAGCACTGATTCTATATGATATAAGCATTTATGAAATAAAGATTAACATAAATTTTCAAATATTTTTCGATTGATTTATAGAATAAAATCTAATTCTTTAGTTATATATTCAATTTCAATTGTAGTTTAATTTACAGTAGATAAAGTTTCTTTAGTTTTTTAACATTACATTTTTAATCTTCTCATAGCTCTTGCATCTTATTTTAAATCAATTCCATATTTTTCTTAAAATATCTCACAACAATAATTGACTAGTATATGATCAAAATCTTCTCCTCCAAAATTGTCATCTCCAGATATTGATTTAATTTCTATCACTTAATTTTCAATCTCACCTACACTAACTGTTATTGAACCTCCACCTATATTCATAATTAAAGCAATCCTTCTATTACCATTCAACAATTTCATTCCATAAGTAAAATATGATGATGTTGATCCAATCATTATTCTTAATATTTTTAAACCTGATATTAGACCAGCATCTTCTATAGCTCTTTTAGAAAAGAAATTTAAATTACAAGATGTTATTAAAACTGCTTGACTAATCTTAATACCTAAATGATTTTCTGCTATATTCTTCATTTTACTAAGAATCATTGAACATACTTCTTCAGCATGCAATTTTAATATTTTCTATCTAAAATTAACAACAATCACTGGTCTATCATATTTATCAGCTTCAATTTTAAAGGGTAGTTTTTAAATTTCTTATTAAACTATTTTATCACTAAATTTCCTTCCAATTAACTTCATTACATTGAATATAGTATTTGTAGGATTTTTAGCTTATTAATTTTATGCTGCTTCTCCTATTAGTCTTTCTTGATCTGTAAATGCGACATATGAAGGTGTTTATTTATTTCCAAATTCATTACTTACAACCTGAAATTAATCTTTTATCATCACTCCTACTCTACTATATGACACTCCTAAATCAATACCAATTGCTATTTCGTTTTATTTTTTCATTTAAAAATTTACTTATATTTATTAATTAATAAAATTAATTTATTTATTTTATTAGATCTTTTAATCAAATTTATTTTCAAATTCTATTTATTCTTCAAATTAAAACACTTTATAAACTTATAATTTAATTTTACATTTTTCAACTACTTTTCACATAGCTCTTATTAGAGTTAATTTTTACAAAATATACAATTAAATGAGATTATCAAAGAAATTATTAATAAATCGAAAACAATTATTATTACATCTTCTATTTCATTCTCAAATATATATCATGCTTCTTAATAAATTGGTCTTAGATGTTTTTAATGCAAAAAAAAACGAGAATATCTCAATCACTCATACTTTTTTTTTTAAATATAAACTTATAACAATAAAATACAATAGATAATGAAATACTTATTTTAGTTAGTCCAAAAAAATAATATGAATGTTAATCAAATCCAAATATTATTATAAATGCTAAATATGAGACTAATATAAAGGATTTTGAATAATCAAAAATTGAAACTAATCCATATTTTTAAAATCTTAATACGAACAATAATAACAAAGATTTATAACTTAGTTCATCAGCTTAAACTAACGCCTTAAATAATTAATTTAAAAAAATCATATGAAAATATGCAAATTAATTTAAATTATTTTTCCTTACTCTAAAGAAATAATACTCGCTATTATTTCTAAAAATAATGTAATTTTAATTATGATTTAAATTCTGAAAGAAGATGTTTTTTTAGAGGATTTATTAATTTCTCAATTAAAAAAAAATTATTTTGAAATGTACTAATTTATTTTTTGAATAATTAATATCATCTACTCTTTTGATGTTATAAGTATCCAATCATAGATATTTGAATAAAATTTATAAGACCGATTTATTTGATAAGAAAAAAACCTTAGGATTAATAATTTATTATAAAGACATCAAACTGAATAACAAGTCTTTATACTTAATATTGAAGCCAATTTACTATATATTGAGTAATCTAAGACTCTTTGAAGTGAATTTGATATTTAAATTTTATTCAACATTTATTTAAAAATTAAAGTAAGTTTTTTTTTGTTGAATTCTTCAGATTATTTGTTTTTATTGTTTATATTTTAACTAGGCTTTATATTTTATTTAATTTCATTATATTCTATGAATTGATAACCACAGTAAAAAATAGTTATATTTTGAAATCTGTTGAAAAGAACTTTGAAAATGCTAGCTTAAATATTATTCAAAATAAATCCATGAACTAATATTTTATAAATAATGTTTACAAAAAAATGAATAAAATTCAAGATCATTTTTATGATACGATCATAATTAAAGATTAAATAAAAGTTTAAATAAATTTTAGAAAAATAAAATTTTCTGTTATTAAAATAAACNCAACTACTTTTCACATAGCTCTTATTAGAGTTAATTTTTACAAAATATACAATTAAATGAGATTATCAAAGAAATTATTAATAAATCGAAAACAATTATTATTACATCTTCTATTTCATTCTCAAATATATATCATGCTTCTTAATAAATTGGTCTTAGATGTTTTTAATGCAAAAAAAAACGAGAATATCTCAATCACTCATACTTTTTTTTTTAAATATAAACTTATAACAATAAAATACAATAGATAATGAAATACTTATTTTAGTTAGTCCAAAAAAATAATATGAATGTTAATCAAATCCAAATATTATTATAAATGCTAAATATGAGACTAATATAAAGGATTTTGAATAATCAAAAATTGAAACTAATCCATATTTTTAAAATCTTAATACGAACAATAATAACAAAGATTTATAACTTAGTTCATCAGCTTAAACTAACGCCTTAAATAATTAATTTAAAAAAATCATATGAAAATATGCAAATTAATTTAAATTATTTTTCCTTACTCTAAAGAAATAATACTCGCTATTATTTCTAAAAATAATGTAATTTTAATTATGATTTAAATTCTGAAAGAAGATGTTTTTTTAGAGGATTTATTAATTTCTCAATTAAAAAAAAATTATTTTGAAATGTACTAATTTATTTTTTGAATAATTAATATCATCTACTCTTTTGATGTTATAAGTATCCAATCATAGATATTTGAATAAAATTTATAAGACCGATTTATTTGATAAGAAAAAAACCTTAGGATTAATAATTTATTATAAAGACATCAAACTGAATAACAAGTCTTTATACTTAATATTGAAGCCAATTTACTATATATTGAGTAATCTAAGACTCTTTGAAGTGAATTTGATATTTAAATTTTATTCAACATTTATTTAAAAATTAAAGTAAGTTTTTTTTTGTTGAATTCTTCAGATTATTTGTTTTTATTGTTTATATTTTAACTAGGCTTTATATTTTATTTAATTTCATTATATTCTATGAATTGATAACCACAGTAAAAAATAGTTATATTTTGAAATCTGTTGAAAAGAACTTTGAAAATGCTAGCTTAAATATTATTCAAAATAAATCCATGAACTAATATTTTATAAATAATGTTTACAAAAAAATGAATAAAATTCAAGATCATTTTTATGATACGATCATAATTAAAGATTAAATAAAAGTTTAAATAAATTTTAGAAAAATAAAATTTTCTGTTATTAAAATAAACATACAGAATAGAAGCATTTATGTTAAGAAAATAATTCAAAAAATATGACTAATTTAAGAAAAAAAAAATAAATTCAAATTATAAAAGTATAGAAAAATATTTCTCTAAAATATTAAATTAATATTTCTGATTAATTTTTCCTATATTTAATAGCTTTTGTGTTAATAATAATATATTTAAGTTTTTAATTAATAATTTAAAATCAAAATATTTAAGATGAAAAAACTCTTAATTATTATTATTTTATGGATAGGGTAATTAATACTAATAATATGGTAGAGTATTCAGCTAATTCTAACATTATTCATTAACAAAAAATTAATTTGAAAATAATCCTATATAGCAGAGATTACTTTTATCGAAATGCCACTATTCTTGTTAAGAATGTGATGGATCTACTGAATAAGATTGTTTAAAATGCAAAACAGGAATTGGTCGATACTATGATTAAATTAACAGAATGTGTCTTTGTGAAATTAATCTTTTTGATATTGGAGTAGAAGAATGTTAAATTTTTGATGAAGCTGTTCCTTCTGGATTACTAATTTAAGAAAACTTGATGTATGAAGAATTTTGTAAATTTGGGTAATTTAAAGTTTTGATTGAGAACAATAGATTCTTTTGTTTGGATTGGTAATAATTAAAAATATTATAGTCCAAAATCGGTTAATAACAATCTTAATTGTTTGGATTGTTATTTCAATCCAGAAACATGGTATAAGTAACCAAAATGTACTTCAGACTTTGTAAAAGTAAAGAATGATGAAAATTATGGTTATTTGATGTAAATTAGAGATGAGATTGAATTTGAGACTTTCTTAATAAGCGAATTATTTTAGTTGATGTCAACTCCTTATTATTAATAAATCTGTTCTGATAATTAACTTAATTAGGATGGAAATAATTGTAAATTAATGAATTAAAAACACCTGGAAAAACAACTTTATGCTGTTTGCAAAGATTATACATATTATGATTAGAATTAATGTATATAATGTCCATTGTTTTGTTCAAAATGCAATAATAATTAATGCTTAAATTGTGTTGATCATACTTATTTATATAATGGTTTATGTTATGAATGTCCTAAATAATGTAAAGAATGTTAATACAACATTTAGTCAAATATGGTGGAATGCAATTAATGTTATGAGTAAGATTAATTAATAATTAGATATTTTGGATTAGTTTAAGGGAAATGTATAGAATGTGGATTAAATTGTGTTTTTTGTATGTTTTGGTCATTTTTTGATAGTTATTATGGAATTTGGATAGAATTTTTAAGATGTTTATAATGCATTGATAATTCAAAATATCATATCTCATCTAATGGGCTTGATTGTAAAGAGAATTAACTTTAAAATTGTTTACATACATATTAAACAAATGATCTATATTATTACTCTTCATCTACTTATGATTATAGATTAAGAAAATTCTAAAATGCAATAAATGGATGTGCCAGATGTGAAGATCATTTTGATGTTGACTAGAGCGGAAATTGTGTTCCTTCAGAAAACTTAATAGAATCTTGTTTATTTGTCTATAGATATGGAAATGAAGAAACTTATTGTTTGATAAGTGATTATTCATGGAGTCAATAAAATAATAAATGTTTTGAGATTATATCAAATTGTTAGGAATGCATATTAGAACAATGGACAGAAAAGTTACTATGTATATTATGTCAACCTGGTTATTATGCTCATAGATTATTTGGATATTGTATCTAATGTCCATAAGAATTAAATTGCAGAGTATGCTCTTAATAATAAACTCTATTCTAAGATGGTTGGGTATATAAAATAAGAAGTTTTTACGAAGGTGTAATGAATGCTGTTTATGTTGAAACAGAAAACACAATACCAAAAACCTTTAGAACAGCTGGATAAAGTTAGAATATTGCAGACTATGAAGTTATTTGTAATATATGTTAAGATGGATTTTAACTCCATAATAATATTTGCATTCTAAATTGTCCTAATGGTTGCCTAGAATGTAAGATTTAAAATAATCAAAACATATGTTTAAAATGTTAAAATGATGAGTATGGAAGAATTTAATCCTTAGTTGATAATAAATGTTTATCTTGCCCTTCAAATTGTAAATTATGCACACCCAGAACTTTTGATCAAATAAAACATCTTAATCCTTATTTTAATGATAATAAATATTAAAATTTTGCAAATCGATGTGTAAACAGTACTGGTTTGTCAACTTTTTCTTATGATCCAGATTTTAATTTTTTTATTAATTGTGAATCCTAATAACATCTATGTTAAAATGTTTTAACCGTTTCTTTATTATTGTACTGCGACCAGGAGTAATATAACTAAAATTTAATTTCGTAATCAGATACTCAATTAAAAAAACTTAGGTTCTTAAAAACAACTTTATTTTTAGATGATCTTCTTAATAATTCATTTTAATATTTTGAAAATGATTGGTTTTACTCTTTATTAAATAGAAAACAGATAAGAAAATTAACTATTAAAATTTTAACTTAAGAATCATAAGATTGCTATTTTAAAAATAAAGTTTAAATTGCTTAACTATTTCGATCACATGTATTTTCGCTAAAGTAAATATTTCATGATTTAATAGTTCGGTTAATCTTGAATTTGTTGGAACTTAGAATAACAAATTTTATATATTTGATTCAGTTGAATTCCATAATTTCACAAGTATTTCTTTTGAAGCAATCAACTTGGATTTTAAGACTTCCTCTTTTATTGATTAATAAACTGTTAAGTTTCATAGTATTTAAAAATAAGATATTCAATTTAAGAATTTAAAAATTCTGTAGGAGAATGAAAACACTTAAAATATTAATATTTAATTTAAAAATATTAATTTTATTAATATTCTTGATGTTTAAATTTAAAGATTAAACTTGAATTCTACTTATGGATTATTTCAATTTATATAATCTGATGATTATTTAGATAATACTGGAACCATTAAATTTTCAAACTTAAATATTCAATAAACAAATTTAATAAATTCTTAAATAATTAATTATTAGATTTCAAATCCTTTTGTCATCTATTTTGAAAATATCTCACTTAATTTGAATTTAACTAATTCATAATTTTTTTCTAGCAATATAATTTATAATTTTGGAAATTTAATAATTCATTAATTAAAAATAATAGATTCAATATTAAAAAACTCCTCCTAATTGATTTCGGGTGAATTTTTGAAATTAATTGAAATTAATTCTATAATTTTAAACCAAAATTAATTTGATTATAGCAATCTTATATTATTGAACAAGAATATTACAGTTTAGAATTTGAAAATAGAAAATTGTGTTTTATTGAATAGTAATTTAATACTAAATCATCTAGTATAGAAAAGTAATTCGGATATATTTTATTTATTTTAATTCAAGAATTTCTCATTAACCAATAATAGATATAATTAAGATGCAAAATACATGACTATCTATCGTTATACATCAACTTTCTCTAATATAATAATAGAATAACTTAAAATTGACAATAATACATGCATTGATAATTAAAATTTAAATTAAAAAAAATAGTCAAGTGCTTTAATAATTTTAGAAAGCAATGAGATAGAACTTAAAAATTTAGAAATCTATAAATAAAGTGGAATTCCTGATTTCGCTATAATCAACTCATAAAATTTAATCATTAATAATTTATACATCACTTCTCACAGTGATAAATATGATTTGTTTTTATAAAAATAATAATCAAAAATCAGGGACTTAGGAATCATTTTTCACATTTATTCTGTCAAATAAGTTAGATTTAATAATTTTTCTGTAATTTCTCTATTTATTCATAAAAATCCAATTATCTATTATGAATAAGCAACAAAAACTTTAATTAATTAAGATGCTTATATTGAAGTAGTTAATTCGCATTTTCTGAATAATTTATTATTTTAAAATGATCAATTTAATACAAATTTATTTGAAATTTTTTCAGAATAAAAGGTAATGATAAATTTTTTAAACACCACTTTTGAAAATAATATCATCTATTTTTTGACTAAGGGCACAACTGTTTAATCAACTAATCTTATAAATATTGATTGTTTTGAATGTTCTGTTTAATTGAGAGAANNNATTCTACTTATGGATTATTTCAATTTATATAATCTGATGATTATTTAGATAATACTGGAACCATTAAATTTTCAAACTTAAATATTCAATAAACAAATTTAATAAATTCTTAAATAATTAATTATTAGATTTCAAATCCTTTTGTCATCTATTTTGAAAATATCTCACTTAATTTGAATTTAACTAATTCATAATTTTTTTCTAGCAATATAATTTATAATTTTGGAAATTTAATAATTCATTAATTAAAAATAATAGATTCAATATTAAAAAACTCCTCCTAATTGATTTCGGGTGAATTTTTGAAATTAATTGAAATTAATTCTATAATTTTAAACCAAAATTAATTTGATTATAGCAATCTTATATTATTGAACAAGAATATTACAGTTTAGAATTTGAAAATAGAAAATTGTGTTTTATTGAATAGTAATTTAATACTAAATCATCTAGTATAGAAAAGTAATTCGGATATATTTTATTTATTTTAATTCAAGAATTTCTCATTAACCAATAATAGATATAATTAAGATGCAAAATACATGACTATCTATCGTTATACATCAACTTTCTCTAATATAATAATAGAATAACTTAAAATTGACAATAATACATGCATTGATAATTAAAATTTAAATTAAAAAAAATAGTCAAGTGCTTTAATAATTTTAGAAAGCAATGAGATAGAACTTAAAAATTTAGAAATCTATAAATAAAGTGGAATTCCTGATTTCGCTATAATCAACTCATAAAATTTAATCATTAATAATTTATACATCACTTCTCACAGTGATAAATATGATTTGTTTTTATAAAAATAATAATCAAAAATCAGGGACTTAGGAATCATTTTTCACATTTATTCTGTCAAATAAGTTAGATTTAATAATTTTTCTGTAATTTCTCTATTTATTCATAAAAATCCAATTATCTATTATGAATAAGCAACAAAAACTTTAATTAATTAAGATGCTTATATTGAAGTAGTTAATTCGCATTTTCTGAATAATTTATTATTTTAAAATGATCAATTTAATACAAATTTATTTGAAATTTTTTCAGAATAAAAGGTAATGATAAATTTTTTAAACACCACTTTTGAAAATAATATCATCTATTTTTTGACTAAGGGCACAACTGTTTAATCAACTAATCTTATAAATATTGATTGTTTTGAATGTTCTGTTTAATTGAGAGAATTAAATTTTAATGATAATATTGCAATTAATACAACTTCTTCAATATTACTTATTAAGGCATATGACTTATAAATTATAGAAAGTAATTTTGAAAATAATGGTTAAATAACTAATTAGGCCATCGAATTTTTTGATCATATTTCATTAGAGTATGATAATAGGGTATTTTATTAAGGATCTGGAAATGGGATATTTCAAACTGATTTTATGTATGTTAATAATAGTAATTTCCATAACTAATATGGTTCTAGAGGAGCATCTTTATCATATTCTCCTTTGAATTAAGGATTTTTAAAAATTGAAAGTACTAAAATTGATACTTCCCAAAATTATTTTAGCTTAGAAAAAGAAGAAGGAGGAGCAATTTATATAGGTTCTTCAACAGTAGATGTATAATTGGAATTTTTAAATTGCTAGTTTTACAACATATAAAGTTTTTAAGGAGGATTGTTAACGATAGATAGTCCACAACATAGCATTTAAATTTTATTCAATAATTCAATTATTCAAAATTCATTCTCTTTGTATGGATCTTTAGTTTATGTGAATTTTGAAGAATTATATATTGACTCTTCCTTTTTATAACTTCAAGATATTTAGATATCAAACACCTTAGAAGGGTTTTCAAAATTTTGTCAGTTGTTTTATAATAATTAAAGTCATAAAATATAAGAAAAAGAATTATTTTCAAATTTATAAATTTTACTTTATGAAAGATCAATGATTTATTCAAAATTAGGAAAAATAAGAATGAAGAACATTCAAATGTCTGGAATAATTAATGAAATAATTGTTTAAGATTAATAGATAAGGTTGCTATAAATAAACTAAGTTACTATTTAGAATTCTTCAATATCAAATTAAGGCTTAATCAATATCTAACCTTAACAAAGTATTATTTCAATTATAATTTTAGATTAAAATTTTAGCATCAATATAAATTCTTTTTTTGGTGAAAATTTATACATTAATACAAATGAAACATAACTAGAACTTCAAAAGTATAAAAAACTAATAAGAAAGAATATATTTGGTATTTTAAACATAGTAAACATTCATAAAGATGGATATATGGAATTTCGAAACATAAAATTTTAGAATAATATATGTTCTAATTGTTAAGCTGGTTTGATGAATTTTTAATTTAAATCTTATAGCAAGAATATTTTAAACATTTATGATTTAATTTTTTGGTAAAATAAGTGTGGAAAAAGAGGATGCTTAAACATTATTAAAGATAAAATTGATTCCTCTTCCACAAATGATTTAGATAATTAAAGGTTGTTAGAAAGTATAAATTCAAATAATAATTTGAGCTTTGTTTTTAACATTTAAAATTATTATTGCTATAATAATTAAGGAACTTATGGAGTTTGTTTATTTGTTTAAAATTTAGCTGGATAGATTAATGAAGCTATATTTGCCTAAAACAATGCGGAAATTTCAGGAGGGGCAATTTATTCTTTTGGAAATAAATCAAATCTTATTTTAATGAGAACTTAAGTGATTGAAAATGTTGCTTCTTATGGAGGTGGTTTATCAATTTAAAATCACTTTTTTCCAAATTTATTATCTTATGAAACTCTATCTTTTGAAAACAAAGCTATGTATTATGGAAATGATTATGCAGAGTATCCAACCCATATTGTAATTTAGATAAATAATTATAACCAATTTAATTATAAATAAAAATCAGTAAAAACAAAAGAAAATACAATTTAAATCATTACCGCTACATAAAATTAATAAGAATTGAACTCAATTATGTTACCTAGTGCACAACATCTTAATTTATATGAATAATTTGATTGGAAGAATAATAATTATATAATGATGAATTATACTTTAAGATTAATTCCTTATGATTAAAGAAATGATAGAATAAAAAATTTAACAAATAGTAAATGTTTTATTAAAGGCAGATTATTTGATTTTAATAAATTAGAATAAAGTGAGTTGAAAGAATTCCGAAATAATTTTACAAATAAAAATGAAGTTCTTTATGATAATTAAATTGAACAATACAATTTTGATGATCTTATTATATATTTTGATCCTGATTTGCCTGATAACATAGTATTATAATTTGAATTTAAATGTGATTCTATTAGAATACCTATAATTAATGATAATTTATCTTAAGATACAATAATTGATAAATCAGAAGAATTTTATTTAAGACTAAATATTAAAACATTGCCTTGTTAAATAGGAGAATTAAAAGATGAGAAAGATTTATCATGTCATCCTTGTGATTATTCTTAAGACCTTTATTCAGTAAACTTTAATTCAGAAAGATGTAGAATTAGAGATAATATTTAAATGGAATCAGTTAAATCTGCATAAATTAAATTAAGACCTGTAATTAATTATATAATTGTTAGAGTTTTTGGAGACCATATTTTTATGCTGATTTGATAGAAAATTGTTATAATTTTTAATTTAATTGTTTGGGAGGATGGAATTATGGTGATAAATCTTGTTCCCAAGGACATATTGGTGCTTTATGTGAATAATGTGATATTTATAATACTAGAGGTGAAGGATCTTATTCTATTAGCTCAAAATTTAAATGTGGTTCATGTGAAGATACAAATGCAAATACTTTAATAATAATTGGTATATCATTATGGTAAATATTAAATAATAATTATTTAATAGGACACTTATTTCTATTTCAATCTCTGTTAAAAGTACTGTTGATATAATTAAATAATTAGCCAGAGCATCGAAATTAAAATCAATTGGAATTACAATAGTAGTCACAAAAAATAATGCAGTTAATCTAATTAAGATACTTACAAATTATCTATAAATTATATCATCTATTAGTACCTTTTAATTGCAATTACCTTAGAATATGGAATCAGTTATCAACTCTTTAGGAAATCCAGTAGAAACTATGGCTTATTCTTTAGATTGTTTTTTAAAGGATATTTTTTAAAATATTTTTATTCATTATTCAAGAACCATTTGGTAATTAATTATGCCTATTATCTATATTCTTTTATTTTTTTAATTGTATGGAGTAGGAGTCCTTATCAAATTTGTAGATTTTAGTTTTTGTGTTATTTCAACAACATTAATATATATGTTCATTTATCTCTAACCTAATATCATTGCTGGATAAATTGGATTATTATCTTACAGAACCATTTCAGGATTTTAATGGATATTAGGAAATGNTTGAACAATACAATTTTGATGATCTTATTATATATTTTGATCCTGATTTGCCTGATAACATAGTATTATAATTTGAATTTAAATGTGATTCTATTAGAATACCTATAATTAATGATAATTTATCTTAAGATACAATAATTGATAAATCAGAAGAATTTTATTTAAGACTAAATATTAAAACATTGCCTTGTTAAATAGGAGAATTAAAAGATGAGAAAGATTTATCATGTCATCCTTGTGATTATTCTTAAGACCTTTATTCAGTAAACTTTAATTCAGAAAGATGTAGAATTAGAGATAATATTTAAATGGAATCAGTTAAATCTGCATAAATTAAATTAAGACCTGTAATTAATTATATAATTGTTAGAGTTTTTGGAGACCATATTTTTATGCTGATTTGATAGAAAATTGTTATAATTTTTAATTTAATTGTTTGGGAGGATGGAATTATGGTGATAAATCTTGTTCCCAAGGACATATTGGTGCTTTATGTGAATAATGTGATATTTATAATACTAGAGGTGAAGGATCTTATTCTATTAGCTCAAAATTTAAATGTGGTTCATGTGAAGATACAAATGCAAATACTTTAATAATAATTGGTATATCATTATGGTAAATATTAAATAATAATTATTTAATAGGACACTTATTTCTATTTCAATCTCTGTTAAAAGTACTGTTGATATAATTAAATAATTAGCCAGAGCATCGAAATTAAAATCAATTGGAATTACAATAGTAGTCACAAAAAATAATGCAGTTAATCTAATTAAGATACTTACAAATTATCTATAAATTATATCATCTATTAGTACCTTTTAATTGCAATTACCTTAGAATATGGAATCAGTTATCAACTCTTTAGGAAATCCAGTAGAAACTATGGCTTATTCTTTAGATTGTTTTTTAAAGGATATTTTTTAAAATATTTTTATTCATTATTCAAGAACCATTTGGTAATTAATTATGCCTATTATCTATATTCTTTTATTTTTTTAATTGTATGGAGTAGGAGTCCTTATCAAATTTGTAGATTTTAGTTTTTGTGTTATTTCAACAACATTAATATATATGTTCATTTATCTCTAACCTAATATCATTGCTGGATAAATTGGATTATTATCTTACAGAACCATTTCAGGATTTTAATGGATATTAGGAAATGTAGCAAACAGATATGATACATAAGATCATATGAAATGGTTGATTTCATATAGTTTTCCTGTGTTATTTACTTTTGGTGTTTTAATCCCTGGCCTTTTATTTAATAGACTTTATAAAATAAAAGATAATTTAAACATAATGTAAAATAGATTGATTTTGGGTTATTTGTATAATGAATACAAAGGAAGTGCCTATTATTGGGAAATAATAAAAATTATTTAAAAAGAGTTGATTATTATTTTTCTCACTTTTTATCAAGATTAAATTCTTGTTAAAGCAGTATTAGTATATGGAATAATCTTTATCTATAATTATCTTACTTTATAGATATTTCCATATTAAGCAATGTAACTTAATGTTTTAGATCATTAATCAACTAGAATTTGTGGTTTTTCAATTGTTTTAGCTATCGGAATTTACGGATCTTTATAAAATGGAATTCTTGAGGTTTAGATTCCATTTTATATTATTATGACTATAATCAACTTTTTATTTATAGCTAAATTAATGCTTTTTATAATCAAAGCCTACTTTGAAAAATTTGCAATCGTTATAGACAAATTAAGAGATTTTGTTAGAACCAATTTTCCCTAACTTTAGCAATATCCTTTTTTGTAAAAGATACTAAAAAATTAATAATAAACAAGTCTTAGAGCTTAAAAGAATTTTAGAAAAATCAAAATTGCTATTATTATGATTTCAAAATAAATAATTCAAAATAAAAAAACGATGACCTAATAAGAAAGAAAAGGAACTTTTATTTTTGATACCAAAAAAACATTAAATATTTTTGATTAAATGCAAAACGAATAACATAATAAATAATAATAAGTAATGATAAGCAGTTGAATTATATAATTGATCATTTATATATTAAAATATATTATTATAAATCTAATTGAATCACTCTAAGCATTTAAATCCTTCTGATGGAATAAAATGAATAAATGTAATACTTTGAGGTAGTTTGTATTCATTTTCAAATTTAAGCGAATGCTACTCTCTTGCAGTTGGTGTATTTTTGTAATCTAGATTTTATGGATTTTGTTATGAAATTATTATTTAAGGATTTTTTTGTGGAATTGTTTCAAGATGTATTTAAGGATTCAATTATTGAATTGTTTAAGGATTTGTTTATTAAATTATTTAAGGATTTGTCTATATGTTATTAATTTATTCATTAATAACTTGGGAATCTTATAAGGATTAAAAAGGAGGAAGAATAAAACCAAGTTCTTCAATTTTAGATTCAATTTAATCTTCCTTTCCTAATATTCGCATACGACTTTCATTGGTAAAAGTGGGTACTTAATGTCCATTAAAAATACGATGTTGATTTGCTGATGTAATTGAAGGATTAATTACATTAGACTTACGTTATTCTATATTTATTATAGCACTTGAAATGTTAGATAATTTATAATCTATTTATGAATTAGTATTAAATAGATTAAAACTTAAAAGATTTTAATTTCTTTTAATTTCATCATACATTGATTTTAATTCTTTTTGAGAAAAAACATGTTTAAATAGCTTAAATAAATAAACATGATACTTATAATTGAATTTTTTCAAACTCTGTTTATTCTATCATAACCATATAGTGAAAGTAAATTTGTAAACTTTTTTGACATGATTCTGAACATATTAATCCAATATTGGATTTATTGATAATGAGTTCTTACTAAAATTATTCAAAGATTTATACGTGAATTTTATTGACAGTTTCTTCAATTTTATTTTCTTCCGATAAATTTTAAAGTTTTTCTACCTAAATTTTTTGTAGAGCTGATGTTCCAACATTAAAAATTACTTTGATTTCTTTTTTTCTAATTATTTCATTTAATTCTTAATAGTCAGATAGTTTTTAAGGAAGTCTTAAAATATACAAGTGAACTACAAGGAGACTATGCGTAATTTTCTCGTCAAGATATATAGCATCTGAAATCATTAATTTCTAATATTATATTATTTTTATTAATTATAAATTTTCCATTTATAAATGTATAAATGGGAATTCTTATAATTTATTATTTTAATCAATCATTATTATTTCTTTGTGAATCAACAATCAGACTACCAAAGTGATTCTATTTTGTATTCTTTATTTTTCCCTCTAGGATTTCATAAAATTTTAAATCTATTCAGTTATATAATAGTTAACCATTATTGATAGTGATAATTTTTCTGAAGGAACTTTTAAATTAAGATTATCACTTAAAATCTAAATTTAAAGGCATCTTATATTTGAAAAAATTGTAATTTAAATATGTATTTTATATTTAAAGGATCCCCAAAAAATTCTTTATATATGAGTTAGTTATTTTAATTTAATGCAAACTCTTTTTTCTAAGTGTCTATTTCACATAATTGATTCTCAATTAATGCTAATTTTTCAAGTTTTTTTTTCTTTTAAGATTGATTTTTCAGATTTCGAAAAATCTTTTGTAGTAATGTCTAATAGATTAAGAACTTTTTTACTAATTCTATGCTAATAAACTCTTTTCTTTATATGAAACTTAATTAGAATTATTTTTAGTATAAAAAATATTTTGTATTAATTTGATTTTAATCTCATTTCTATTCCTTAATACAAATTATAATAAATTGAAAAAATGTAATATATTTAGATGTTTTTAAATAATGATTTAATAAATTAATTAAAAGAATTAAATTTGAGTATTTGGCATATTCATATTGTTTTCTATACAAAATATAATAATAAATATAAAAATTATGATATGCAAACTATTATTTTTTTCATATCATTAATCATTTTGTTTAATTTCTAACTGTTCTTTATTGGATTTATTATTCAAAGATAAATATTTGGATTTGACAATATTTTTAAATTTCTTCTCTTCATACATTTTATTTCCTATTCTTCCCCTAGCATTAATGAACCATATTTAAATCTAAATATTTTAATAGTATACTTATTTTTAGGTGAGGTTGCATTTATCAGCTAGTTATTCAACCTATTCCTTACTAGGATATGGATAAGAGTAGTGCTTATTCAACCAATTTTTTAAAATTAAGTTAGACTTCTTAGAAAACTTTTAACTCTTTTTTTCGATAGTTTTATCTGTTATTTTCATGGTTTATCTTTAGTAGGATAACTTAAGTTCATTTTACAAGACCTGGGACATGTAATCAAAATACTGTTGTAATGATTTCAATGTATTAAATTCCAATTGAGAAGGATTTTCACTAAATGATTTAAGGTACATGAGAAGACCTTAAAAATGAATGACGTTAGTGTGGGTTTAACTTTAAGAATGAATTTCATCTGAATGAGATTGTAAAATATCCTCACTAAATATAATAATTGTATACTTAGGACAATTATGTTAAACCCATTTATTTAATTAAGACTCTAGGTTGGAAACTTATTGTAAAACAAATTGCTTTCTCAATTCTTAATGAATCGCCAATGATTGAGACATTGAGATTTTATGATAAAAATCGAGAAATTAATAATGAAATTAGATTTAATAATTGATGACATAAAAATGCATGAAATAATTTTGATTTTAAATTAGAAAGTATATTTGTTCTTATGAAACATAAAATTCTTGAAAATTTTTTATTAATCACATGTGATTACAATTTATGAAAAATGAAGAATTTCGATTTATTAATTGTTATTTTTAGAATTAATTAATCCTATTTACTTACACATCAATCAGCATTATATCTTAAGATTAGCCTTTTAAAATAAATCCATAGACTTTGTTGGCTTTGCAAACATTTGGATGACAATAACCTTTAAATAAGAAAAATTAATTCGATCAAATTTGACTTATACTTTGTTAGATGTTTCATGGGATAATCTTCTTAAATTTTTCATTATTAAATAATCAATACATAACATTATTCCAAAAAGTATTTTATTAATTAATAAGTAATGATAATGTAGATGCTAAAGTTAAAAGTATGAATGATTTGATTTTTAACATTTTAATTAATTAATACATTTTGTAATAATTTTTGGTTCAAAAAATGGATTTCAAATTAGATATTCTTAATATATATTATCTTGTAAAATAAAATTTTTTCATTATTCTTTTTAAATTTTCATGCAATTTTTTTGATTATTTTATAAATAATTCACTTAATCGTTATATTATTTTGAATGCTTAATTCTTCATTTAATTTTTTTGAGGAGAATGACATTGCAAAATTGAGAAAATATGTATCATCATTAAATATATTAATTAGTTTATTACAAAAGAAAATGAGTGGAAAAAAGACAAAGCAGTTCTAGAGTAAAAAAATCATTTGCTTGAACTCTAATTGGAAGACTATAAGTTGAGGGAAACTAATCAAAAAAAATTAAATGATACAATTACTTAAGCTATTAGTGACTCAACTGCCAATTAGAAAGTATTTGTTTATATTTTTTACAGTTTAGAAATCAATTGCAGAATTATAAAAAAACATCGATTTTTAATAGAAGGACCATTGTAAGGCAAAATTTAAAGAGTAGATAAAATAATTAGAACTTTAAGTAATGTTTCTATTAAATTAAAGGTTAGGTCTTTATAGGAATAATTATAAGAAAAAGAATCTTAAGTAAAGGAGTTAGAATTATAATACTAAAAATAATATTTGCTTTATGATCATCGAATTTCTTAACTTGAACAAGAGAAACTCTCAAATAATTAAGACATTTAAAAATTAAGAGAACAATTTACTAAATAAGAGGATGCTTATAAATAAAAAGAATAATAATATAAATAATCTCATGATTAAGAATTACAAAAAATAAAAGATCTAAACATCCAAGATACTAATTCAAAGCAACAAGATTATGAAACAAAATTCGCTTAATTATCCATTTTACATGAAAAAGAAAAAGAATAACTCTAAATTAGAATTAGCAAATGTTAAAATACGATTAAGAAATATTAACAACATATTGAGTAGAATGTTGATATCATAAATTTGAAATAATAATATGAAGATTAAATTAAATAATTGAATAATAAAAATACTGAAATTTAGACATAATTTTCATATGAAAAATAAATCTTATTGAATCAAATTGAAGAATTAAAATTAATCTATCGAGATCCAAATTTAAAGGAAAGTATGAATTGTCATAATAGTACATCTAAAAACAGAAGCATTGATGCTATTAAAATAAAAAGTTCTCTCTAATCATATGATAGTCCAATTTAATGTAAAAGTTTTCACATACCTTGTCCTGAAAGCAAAGTACAAATCTATAATAACTATTTGAAAAATTCATCCACTCAATCTATTATTTTAGCTTAAAAATAATAAATTTAATAATAACAATTATAATAAAACAATTAATCATTTGAAAAATCTTCGAATATGAATGATGGAATACCTATTTCGATAGATTAATTCAACTTAATGAAAGATAAAAAATTAAAATCATCATCTACTCTTTCTTTTCCAACAAGTAATAATTACAATCTTAATTCCTATTTATAAGAGCAAAGCATCTTTTAATAAAATCAAGAATCTTTTTAGTTGGATTCTAAAAATAACTTTAAAGAGGAAATATACAAAACTAAAATTTTAAAATAATTGAATCCTAATATCTCAAACAGATAAATTCAATTAGATTATAATAGATCTATCAAACACGAATTATAAAAATAAAAGGAATAAAATTATTAAAGATCCATATCTTAAGAAGGAGTAAAATAATAAATATCCAATTTAAACAAAATGTTAGGCTAAACTGAATTAAGTTTTTAATAGAGTACTTCAACATAATAAAAAACTAATAATACTTCACTTAATAATTTCAAAGTTCCAGCTTTTACTTAGAATTAATTAAATAGTTTAAAAAATAGTTCATAATATATATATCCATGCACAACTTTAAGGATGAAAGAAAGTCTATTACACAAAATAAAACATAATAATAATCATAGTACTCATGAAGAGATCAAATAAAATAAAGAGAATCATTAGCCAATTAAAAATCATTCAAAAAGTGATATTAAAGTTATGATTGGCAAATTGCTATAAAATAAAGGAAAGTAAAGTGATCTATAAGAAAATAATGGATATCAAATAAAGAATAATAGAATTTGAAGCACTTTTTATCTTATATGCCTAATAAGACCATTAATTATTTTAACAATGAATTCTATTTATTTTTTTTTTTAATTTTCATCTGTATGATTTTCAGAATTCTTCTTAAGAAATTTATGAAAGATCAAGCAATTTATGCTAGTATAGATTTAAATGGGCTATGAACATTTATAGTTTTAGTATTAATAAAAATTATAAATGTTAATGAACATAATAAAAACTTTTCGGTTTTCGTAATTCAAAATAAAAATTGACCACATATAACATCATAAATATGGTCCATTATAAGTTATCGATTTTAAATTGTTGAATATTCATTAAAAAACTTCTTTAAAAGATATCTACTATTCATATATGAGCATATAAAATTGTATGAGATGTAATAATAAGAAGAAAAGATGGAATAAGTAAAAAGAGCCTATATAAGGATTTTGTCAAAAAGATTAAAAAATTTAGATGTAATGGCTGAAGAGGAATCAAAAGATGTAAGATTTCTAATTGATAATAATTTTGGATTTCCTTTTGTTGAAGGTTTTAGAAGATCAGAAATGATTACTTAATTTTAGTAAGAAATAGAATCCAAAAAGCTTTATCACTATCCTCGTATAGCATAAGCTTTACTATGGATAATATTGGGCATTCCTAGTTTTCTTTTAAGTGATAACTATGTGTATCGAAATTGAGTAAACATAATTAATAAAATTCATAAAATTTAAACAATTAAGGTATTATTATAATGAATTAAAAATATTTAAAAATTTATGGAGATTCATTTTTTATTGGAGTTCAAATATTTTCTAAAGCTTTGATAATTTGATCGTTTAGAATAAATTTGCTTAATTACTTAGCATTTTAGTTTATTCTTTAATCTAATTCAAATATTGAGGTTAAATTCTATATTTTCTTTTGAAATTCAACCTTTTATGTTTTGATCTCTTTTTTAATCAGTTAATGAATAAATTTTTAGGTATTTTTTTTGCCAAAGTTCTTCATAAATTAATGATTATTATTTTGGTAGATTTGTTGATTTTTTTTTAATTTTGAGTAGTAATTTAATTTCTGAGATAGAAATAAAACTTACTTTTAGTAACTTTATTATTGGAATGATTATTAAATTGTTAATCAAAGTAGTTTTGATTAAAACTATAGAGTAATTGTTTAGCAAGATCATTATTCTATGAAATCTTGATTTATTGATTGATTGATCTGATAAATTGAAGTTACAAAGTAATTATAATGATATTGAGTAATCTTGAGAACATTTCAGCAATAGATTAAAATAATTTAAAAAATATTTTATTTTAAGGTAAATGGAAATATTAGTAAGAATAGGATGAATATAGTTGATATTAATAAAATATAGGAAGAGTGTTTAATTGAATTCTTAGTCATAAATTAGTTATGATATAATCCAAACTGAAAAAAAGGATAGGAGAAATAAGTTGTAATTTGATTGGTTAATTAGATTGGGTTATAAAGTAATTCTTATTTAAATGAGGTAAATTAGAACTAGAAAAGGATCTGAGGTTTTGATGTTGAGGAATATCTAATAGCCTAATTAAGAATTGTTAAATCAATTTAGACTAAGCGGTTGAATAGAAAAAGATAATAGGATCTTCTGGATAGTAAGATATGAAGGATTAGTTTTTGTTGGAGTGTATGTTATTTTAATAGTGGTAATGGATGGATGATGTGCATAGAGGAATAGAATAAATAATAGAAGTGTTTGAAAGTAGGAGATCTTTAATAGAAAGTATATAGATATTAATATTATGTAGATATTACATAGATATGATTATGGGGGTGTAAAATATTAGTATAATATTTGTTATTAGTTAAGAGGAAGTGTTAATAATAATTATTGATAAATTTGGATGGGGGTTGATTTGATTATATTGATGAAAATTCATAATATTCTATAATGTTAGTTAAAGAATTTGTATTTGAACAGTATTGAGTATTGAGTGTGACTTATACTAATTATATTATTAATCAATTAATGAAGATTGTTAACTCCAATGAGTAAATAAATGAATATATGATAGTAGTAGTCAAGAGGATTCAGATGATCAATGCAAGACAAACATCTCCACATATTAAGCCACAAAATTAAAATAATAAGCTAAGGACATATAAGAGATGCTCTTGCAATTCTAGAGAGACTTTGAGGATGAAGAATGTGATAAGTACTATATTTTGAGCAAGAAGTTTTTAAATGAATTAAATAACATAGATGGTTTGAGTAGTGGAAATAGTATGTGTCATATGATTAAGTTGTAAATGGCTAACCACCTGATAAGAAATTCGGATAAATAATGTTACAAAATTATAATAATGATTTGCAAGAGACACGTATAAATGAATGTTTCAAATTTTACCCTCTTAACACTCATCCTTGGAATGTGTGGTTAAAACCCAATTTATAAGAGGGAAAAGACTACATTTTGATTTCATAATAAATTTAGAACTTTTTGAATCAAAATTATAGGGGACTTCAAATAGTACGAAATTCAGTTGGATAAGGAAAGAATAAAAAGGTTGTGGTTAATTTGTTTAAGGTAAAAATATCTATTTGAATATAAGTTTAATGCCACTTTGATTTTACCAAATACAATAATGTAAATTGCATAAGACAATTTAACATAATTTGAAAAAGAATATTTATAAGTAGATGAATCTAGTACAACGAAAGATCTTTATGCATTGATATAAAAAACAGTACCTACTTTTAGAGGTAATTACAATAGTCAGAACAGTGTTAGAATTTGGAAATATAATAATTAAAATGATCCACATAAAGCACTATTTGCAGAAATAAAGAAATAAGTGCAAGATCTTGATTATTTTGATGATCATGTATTTAATTTTTCAGGAGATCCTATAGAGAATTCTTCAAATATCGCAATTAAATAATTGTAATTAAGTGAGAATGATCTTATAGTAATAGAAGTATTATGTCTAAATAATAAATCAGTTTTAATAAAGCAATAAACCATGGTGTATAAGACATCCATCTGTTCCAATTGAAGGGAAATGTGAAAATTGTGGTTGTATTTGTGTTCTCTCATATCCATGTGTATGTAAAAAGGTAGCATATTGTTCAGAAAAATGTAAAATTAATGATGAAGGAATGCATCTACCAAAATGCGATCCTTGTGGATCTGATGATGAATAAGTTAGATAAATAACTTACACTAATCAATCAGTTAAAGGAGTAACAGGTTTAGCTAATTTGGGTAATACATGTTTCATGAATAGTGGAACATAATGTTTATCTAATACATATCAATTATCAGAATATTTCATTACTAATAAATTTTTTGATGAAATTAATGAGGATAATCCTCTTGGAACAAAAGGATAATTAGTTAGAAAATATGCTTCATTAATTAAAAAATTGTGGTGTGGAGATAAAAACATAGTTATTCCAACCAGCTTCAAAAAAGCAGTAGGATAATTTTAACCTATGTTCAAAGGATTCTAATAACATGATTCTTCTGAACTTATTACTTTTCTATTAGATGGATTACATGAAGATCTAAATAGAGTCAAAAAAAAACCATATGTTGAATCCAAAGATTATTTGAATAGACCAGATTTTGAAGTAGCCAAAGAAAGTTGGGATAATCATCTTGCTAGAAATTAATCTATTATTGTTGATTTAATGCATGGATAATATAAATCAACACTTAAATGTCCAACATGTTCATAAATTTCTATTACTTTTGATCCTTTCTTAACTGTTGGATTAAGTATTCCAAGCAAAAAATAAAAATCTATTCATTTAAGACTTATTAAATCAATTCTCTAAATTGAAACTAAATACATTAATTATGAGGGATCTAAAAAAACTATGCCTCTAATTGAATTTACTAAAGAATATATTATTCCTGAATTCAAAATTGAACCTAATTCAGAATTTATATTTTATACCTCTTATTCCTATGATATTCAAGAACTTATTGATCCAAAAACTGAAATTAATGTTGTGAGAAAGAATTCCAAAAGAGGTTATCTAGTAATGAAACTAATCTCTAAATAAGAAAGTCAGATTCCTTTAGAAGATAGAATTTACTTAAGCTATACATAAAAAGCCTTATAAGGATTAAGTTCTTAATATAAAAGCACTATCTTTTAATCCTTCTAAGTTATCATTTCTAAAGAATTTACTTTAAAATAAATTCATCTAGCTATTTTTTAGGCTGTTCTTCCTATATTTTGTGATGTAATTTCTCCAAGTGATGTAGATACTCCTGAAAAAATATAATAGTACTATGAAGAGAATGTTTATGGAAAAGTAAATAATAATATATATTAAATTTAGTATTATCAAATACAATATAGAGCTCCTAATGCTTATTGGTAATTATGCAATTTTTGCAACTAAAAAGATTGCTAAGATTGTCCAGCAGAATATTTAGATGAAATCTACTAAAATTTAAAAAATAAATTTAGTAAAAACGATTAGAATTTCAAAATTGATTTGATAGTATTTTGGAATTAGAGTCCTTTTTAAAATGTTAAACCAGCTGATATCTTTTAATATTATTAAAATTAATAATAAAAAAAATAGATGGAAGGTAATTCTATTTATTATTATTATTATCTAGAAGAGAGAAATATGATGAATAACGATGAAAACAATAATAACTCCAATAAAACTAGATACACCTCAAAAAATAATTATTATACTAACAATAATACAAACATTAAAGTAACACTCTAAGAATGTCTCTAATAATCTGAATAACCAGAATAATTGGCATAAGACAATGCCTGGTATTGCAAAATTTGTAAGGAACATGTTCAAGCATTTAAGAGTATGTAGATTTATAAGGTTGTATTATCAATTTATAATAAGGCATCTGATATTCTAATATTCACCTTGAAAAGATTTAAAGCATCAAGTGGGTTTTTCAAATAAAAACTTGAGACTTTTGTCGAATTCCCTGTGAGAGGACTAAATTTAACAGAATTCATTTTGAATAAAAATCGACCTATAGATTATGAAAAAGAATAACTATAGAAGGAAAAAATAGAAGAAGAATTACCTGAATAAATTGAGGATGACAAGAAATTAATTTATGATTTATTTGCAGTATCTAATCATTTTGGAGGAATGGGAGGAGGACATTATACTGCTTATGGAAAGAACCATGTACTTTAAGTGTTTAGTCTTAGTTTAATGGAAAATGGTACAATTTCGATGACGCTCAAGTGAATGAATTAGATGAAGATTAAATTGTTTCAAAGAGTGCATATGTGTTGTTTTACAAGCGAAGATAAAAAGATGAAAATACATAAGACTTTAATACCCAAGATTGAAATTTATCTATATGAAGTTTAAAATATTTTATGTATAATAAAAAAAAAGTTAAAATCTGATTTTGAAAGATCAGTTATTATAGCTATTTTTGTGAATAGAGGAGGATGGATATAATCACAAGAAAAGTAGAAGATTCAACAAATAGGAATTTATATTGAGCTACTATATGAAATGTCTACCTACCACTTATATTTTCAGGAGAGTAAATAATTTAATTTATTTAAAATATTAAAATTAATCATTATTTTTAATGATCATTTTAGTTTTCAATTTACATTTAATGTTCATTTATCCATTTATTAATCTCTAATATTTTAACTTACATTTCTGCATCACTTAATGGTTAACCATTCTGATGACCAATAATCTATGTAATTACTTCTTCTAATGGCTTTTTAGCATGTTCTTAAGTGTGAGCTTTTGCTTTATTTTAATACATTTGTAGATTTTCCAAATATTCAGAAGCTATACTTGTGTCTAAAGGATCATCAGGTTCTGGAGTCATCAATAAACCTATTTATTAATAAATTAATAATATACCAAATATAGCTTAGAATATTTAGAGTACAGTAGTATCTAAGGTGTAATTTCTATCTAAGATACTGTGACAAATTCTTCCTTATGAATTGATATTACAATGATAAATTGGTGTAAGAAATCTCAAATTTGGAGGTTTATTTGGATAATTTTCATCAAATTATAAATATAGTATAAAGACTCCTCCATCGTAAGGAGTTTACTCTGGACCCAATAATATGATTTTCCAAAATGATACATTATTTTAACATGGGAATATTTTTATATGAGGATGAGGATGTTATTCATAATTCATTATTTCTTTTATTACTCTTTTCAATTGATTGTTAGGAGCATACTAAAATAATTTCTTTTAATCTTAAATGATTTCTTATACTAGTTATTAAGGATGAATTGATTAAGAATTTATTTCATTTGGTAGATTAATGCTAACAGGAACTTTATCAAATTCAATCTATGAATCTTTTAATTTAAAAGTGTCTCTAATATATTTAAGTGTTATTTTATTTTATTTTTTTCGTATTTACGCTGATAAAATAGTTTCATATTCAAATAATTTTAATCCTTCCTATATTGTTGAAGGAGAAAAACATTGTCCACCTGTTGCTTTTGTAATTTTCTTTAAACCTGGACAAAAATCAGATACAGCAAATGAATCTAGTATTATTTCATTTTTATAAATGGATTCTGCCAACTTTAATGGATCTAAAGGATTTTTATCATTATCTTATCCATCTGTTAATGCAATAATCCTTAATAAGCAATTTGGATATTTTTATTTGAATGCTAATAATTGCTTTTCAGCAAATTATAATGCTCTATAAAGTTTAGTTTGACCAGCTGATTTAGCTTTATTTACTAAATCTTTAAATAATATGAATAATTCAGTAAATGAACATTTTTCAATGATTCTATCATCAAAATAAACTAAAGAGATAACATTCTTTAAATTATATGCCATAGTTCTATCAGCAAAGGTATTAAAAAATGCTTTAACAACTCCCATTCTAGTAAGATCTTCACTATCATAAAATAATTCATCCATAGAACCAGATATATCAAGTAAAACAACAATAGCTTCATTAGGTGGATTAGTGATTTTTGGTTCTATAACTTTTTCTTGATTTTATTCAGAATCATCATCATCATCATCATAATCATCATTTTAATTAGCTGATCCAATTTATTGAAGTAATGCTAATTAATCTGGATTTGTTGGTTTCATTTCAGCCGTCATTACATTATATATAATTATTGGATACTTAATATCCTTATTACTACCAGTATAAATTAGTAATTCTTCATTTTTACCACTTGTCAATAAGGGATGAATTTAAGTATTTTTTAATTCAATACCACTATATAATTTTAATGAATTATGTGATGTAATTACTTAATTCATAGACCAAGTATTTGGAATTTCAATTTTAATTTAATCCATATCAATTAATTTTATTGGTTACCAAATTAATGTTTCTCTGTCCTATAATTTAATCAATGAAAAATCTTCAAGTAATTAATCTGGTTATAATAATTTAAGTTATGCAAAAGGAATTTTATTTTAATTTACTTCATTATTTTAAATTTTGACTTAAATCTCATCATAATCTACTAATTAAAAATTTGTTAAATCTATTGCTTCATCATTTATTTATTCTGATAAATAAGCAGGATTACTAATTTTTTTGAGAGTAATTTGACTGACTAAATCAAGAAATTTAAAATTTTCTTATTATTTAACATCATCCAATTTTAATTTCAAAGTCTTTTAATGTAATAAATGATAAAAATATCTAGAATATTCAAAAATTCTATCTATCTTGAAAGTTTCAGGTACATTTTAACTTAATAATATGAGATCAAAAAATACACGTTACATACCAACTTCAAATGCAATGCATTACAATTAAGAAGATCTTAAGTGTTTAGAAAATAATTAACATACCAAGACAAGTGGAGTATTGTTATTTGAAACTTTTCTTATCATTGCCATAAATCTTGGATCTTAAAAATGAGAAAAGAAAACTAGTGAAACTGATCTAAATTATTGAAATCCTATATTTGTTTATGGTATTAGATGTTCCATCCAAGGTAGATTAAAATTGTAATTATAACTTGATGAGAATGGATATGTATCCATGACTTTGAAATTTAACACAATGGAGCTTAAGTTTTATATTCCATAATCCTATAATAATTTATTATTTTCTAAGATTTTACCAATATAAAATAGCTATTATATTGGAGTAGGTATATTCAATTTATGATATATTTTTTATTTCAATTCTTAGATGGTTGATGTCTTTAAATCTATTCTGATGGATTTAGATCCTTAATATTGAATAAATATTTATTATTCTCCAACATCTGAATCTATTTTAGGTAATGAAGCTTATCCAACTTTGCATTTTGATATTATTGCATACATTTCTCGTTATTTTAAAGCATTTATTGATTCTTAAACTTTAACATTATGCATCTAATTTAAACATGTACATATTGGAAGTCCATTTATATTATAAAAACTTACTACATAATCAACCTATAATTATAAACTATTGCATATCATCTCGGATACTTATATTAATGTATGATCTAGATTACAACAATATTTAAATTTTTATTAAGTATCTTTAGCTTATAAAAATCTTACCCAAAATTCAAATTCTCCTTCATATTAACAATTTTTAATATTTTAAGTATTCAAATAAAATTAGTCTTCTAACTCTAATAATTAATTTTAATTTAATAATTTATTTGAAGAATTCTATGAATTCAAATTGTTTAAATTTTATATATTTTGTGATTAGGTTAAATTTTATTAGACTTAAGGAACTTAATTTTAAGTATTGATAGTTGGTTACTAAGTTGAATTCTAAATTTATGGAAGTAATGAGTTTTATTATGAACCCAAAGTTTATTAGATTATTTAATTGGATGTATTATTTAATTGAATCTATTATTAATATGTAGAAGGTTATTGAGTTTTTGGAGCCAAAGAGGGTAAATATATTAATTGAATTGTTTCATTATTTTTAATCAAATCTGTGACAAGATCATCATCATCAAAAAAATTGTTTTACTAATCTTTTAAAGAGTAATTTATATCTTAAAAGTTCAAAGGTATGTCTTCAAAACCAATTTTAACGACCTAATAAAAATAAAAAAAACTTTTACTTTTTAAAGTTTGCTCAGACGGTCAACAGAAAATTATTTTAATTCTCGAATTGTTGTATTTTGATCAACTGGAAAGGCAATTTTGAATTGTATTTTCTCAGAGTATTTAATAGACAGTGTTAATTTAATCATTGATGATGTTGTTTTAGACATAGAAAGTATATTCGTAGAATTATAAAATTATCAAACAAAAATAATTTATAAATTTTTAATGGAATTGATATTGCTTTATAATTTTTCAAATGTATTAACATAATAAAAGGCATAATTTTATAAATTAAGCAAATCTTTACTAATCTAAAAACAGAATTATTTTATAATGCAGTTTCTTCTAAAAAATTTCAAATGCACCACATATTTTGTAATAAAAATAAATATCAAATACATTGAATTTATACAGAGTAATGAGATTGGATATATCGTATAAATACTATAAAAATCAAATCAGCTTTAGATCTAATCCATCAAGAAATTGTAAGAGATAGATTTGTACAAAAATCAAGCTTAATTTAGTTAATTTTTTATTCTTCAATTCTTAAGAGTTAAACAGATTCATAATATTAATAGAATATTTAGATTTGATTTTTTATATGAATCAGACTTAAAAAAGAAATAGAAAACATTAATTTATGATATAATTTATTTCATCATTTACTTAAATAGAATTTATATAATAATAATATATATTTATCATTATGAGAGATTGTCATATATTTTTTCCACATATACCAAAGTTTTTAAAAAACTATCTTCGCCGTAGACAGATTATGGTGGTAAAATGTAAGGTAATTGCCTTATTTTAAAAAAACGATTTTTAAAAAATCGAAATAATAAAAAGGATGCCAAACCTTAATAAATTAAAAAAACGATATTGAATAAAGCAAATAGTAATTGTCTTGTATTGATTTCATCTTGAAATTTATTTGTTAAATAATATTGTCCTTCTAACATAATAGTATCAAATCCAATGCTTATAAAATTTAAGCCAAATAAATCTGAGATAGTTATTTTTGATAGAGAATCTTGATTATAATTATTTTGTATATTATCTCTAACCTTTTAATTAAAGTAATCAATAGAATAAATTAATCCTTATGATAGTTTTCCATCAATTACAGTTCTACACATCTCATCATTTACTAAAATACAAGCATCTGTAGTTAAATATTACATTAAATCATAATAATTTGTTTATGCTGAAGAGGATAATTACTAAGTAAAAGTAGAAACTTAAATGTATGATTGATTTACTAATTCTTGATATTCTTAGCTAACTATATCACTTTATTTCATGTTTGATTTAGAATTAGAAAATCTTTATAAAACTGAATCAGCCATCATCATTTGATAAAATTATTCAGTGTAAATAATATTTTGATTAAAAAGATTGAGATTATTTTATAAATCTTCTATATTTTAGGAGTTAAATAATTTAACTGTCAGAAAGTAAGCAAATCCTATGAAATATGTTATGATAGAAAATAGAAAAAAGAATCTTTGAAAATAAGGTTTTTCATCAGCAATAAGAAATTGTTTTTTCTATTCTAATTATTAAACTATTTATTAATAACGAATGGATATTCTTTTACTTCCAAACAATTCAGTGAAATTATTAGTTTGATTACATTTGTCTTTAAATTAGAATTGAAATTTATATAGATTTAAATCAGAAGATTATTAATAGTGATGCTATAAAGAAAGTAATCTAATTGATTCAGTTTCTAGAGCTTTGAAGGATATTTATTCACAGCTTCTTAAAATTCTATTCAATAGTTTAAATGTTTAAGTAAATACTACAACATAGGCAAGGATAAAAAAGACTTCAGCTAAAGTAAAGATTATTAAACATAGATTTTATTCAGTTTCTAGATCTGAAACATTTGAATTTAATTAACCTTAGAATTTAATTGTTAATTCTTCATAAGTTACTTTATGTACATGATATTGTCTTATCAGAGAAGTCAATGAATTATTAAATCGTTAGAGAGTTGTTACATTATTAAGATCTATTCCATATAAACCTTATAACATAAAAATAACATAAAATTATTCTGTCCATGCACTTACTATTTAATTTTATTCACTGTAAAAGTCATACTAATTAATATTTATATTAGACAATGTTGATTTGACTAGACTATCATCTAAATATTCTTAATAATGAGACAAATAAATTTTACTGTTATTTTAAACTAATTCTAATAGTTTATTTAAGTGATCTGTATCTTTATTTTAGTTAGATTAATTTGTATCAATTCCTAAAGCTAATAATGTACTTTTAGTGTAATCTGTAGTAACAAAGGCTTTTAATATTTCAACAATCTTCATATTATCTTCTAATTTTGATTAAAAATTAAAGTAGAATATAAAGGATAGTAATAAAAGTAATAATAAATTGAAGAAATCGATTGTTAAAATCATATTGATTATTCTTGGATTATTATCTTAAGAAGCGAATTTAGTGTACAGATGTGTTTTTTATAAAATTGAAGGTAATCCATTATTTGCAGTAGTAGCTGTTTATGTAATACGAATTTCTTATTCTTTTTAAAATTATTAATTTTCTGATTGATTATTATTATCAACATCAAATGATTTCTTTGAAAAAGTCTTATAAAAATAAGATTGTTGATATTTTTGTAGAGGTTATAATTTTTATTAACTTTTATTTATTATTTGTAATTACTATAGACTTTGTCCATCAATTTAAACACTATTAATATTTTATTCTAGATGATGTATATTAGGAGTTTAACTTTTTTCCTCATTAACAAGAAATAGAAGATCTCTTTAGGAATCAAAAGGACTTTAAAAATTTGGACCTATTTGAAATTAATATTCTTAAAAATTAATTGATTAATTAAGTTTTTATTCACTAATGTTTGAAAATTCACAATTTTGATCACTATTAGTAAACATTTTATCTTCTTGTTTTTCAGATCCAGAAAGATCTCTATTTTAAGATGGATCAAAATTAGTTTCTGTTCTTGTTCTTGATTATAGATTTCTTGAAGATTCTAACCAAATTTAACTTGTATTATCTGCATATGTAATTTTTTAAAGTAAAATTAAATATGATTTATATTCTTTTTAATTGATTCTTCCAATAGTCATTATAAATTTACATGATATACAATAAATTTCTGGAACTGTATCTTCTTTAGGTATTCTAAATAATAAATCATCAGCTGAAACAGAGAAATGATTTAATAATTATTCTGCTTCATTATAATCTAATTTCTTAGAACAACTTCCCTATTCATAACGAATAGCTTCTTATTCTAAAAACTTTTTTTCTTTGCCATTTAACAGATCTAAATATTTCTTAAAATTCTAGATTAAATGGTGTATTTTTTTTTAATATAATGTTCTTCCATCTTTCATTTTAAATTATTCTAAAGCCATTGTAGATATTCCTTCAATTCTTAATTCATGATTTAAAAAGATATGACCTTTTATATTTTCATAAGCTCCATCTGATTTTATTTGTTTTAAAAAACAATAAATTGGAAATGTATCTCCTTATATATTAAAACATATATCAATAAACATTTCCACAAAAATCAAATCTTTATTCTTTTTGTATCCTAATAATCCTCTCTTTTTTCTAAGAATTTATGGTCTATTAGTTAACAAAAAGATTTCAATTAATTAATCATGAATTACTGCTAAATGAGGAATTACTAATTGATGTACTGATAATACTTCATCTTTGAATTCTCTTTATCCATATCCAAACATATGAGGAGCATTATTCGAAAATTAAATAATTTCACCTCTCTATATTTTACCTTTTTATGCATGTCTTGCCAAGTTAATTTTAAAATAACACACTTTCCAACCTTATTAATGATTATTTGGTAAATTAAATTCAAAAAATTTATAATTCTTAGTTTTTAATTAATTCCTTAATCTAATAAATTTGTCAAAATCATTAATAATTTCAAGTGAATAAAACATATAAATTAAAATACTAGTTCTTGAAAATGAAAATTAATTAAATTATTCTATTTTTCTAATCACTCCCAAATTGTAATCTACCATATTATTAATCAATTAGTATAATTTCTCATAGTTATATTTAGTATCAATCAATTTTCTAATGAATTCATATTTTACTTAAATATTATTAAACATTTCAGATATCAGTCTATCTCTTCTTACTTCTGTAATTCGATAATCTTTATATTACAATGCTACCTCGACCTCGTCTATTTTTACTAAAGGATTCATCTTTTATAAAATCTGATGTTTTATATAACTCAATAATACAGTCATTGCTACATTACATGAATTATTCTATAATGTATTCAATCTCTCTTTCATTTCCATTACTAATAACAAAATCTAATAGCATTCCTCTGAAGTACCAAGATAAGTTAATAATTATGTAATTCGTATAATATCGAAATTTCCTTTCTCTTTTTCCAATTCAAATATTAATTTTGTGTAATATCTGATATATCTTTTAATCAATTCAACCTATATTGAGAGATTTTTTATCTTAATCGATTTGTAAATTTTCATATCAACTTCATGATAATTATTTTCTATTATTCTTCTTGTTTCTCCTCTAAATCCTTTACAATAACAATATATATTATCACATAATATAATATGTTGCTTTAATAAAACTATCACATTTAATATGAATTTAGATCTATTAATATTGATGACAGAATTGTCTTTTTCTATTGATTATTGATCATCTAGTTTCATCAAGTCTACTAATCTTAGATATTGAATAAAATAGGTGGAATTTTAATTCTACAAAAATTCAAGTTAAATTTATCTTTAATTATTTAATTCCTTTTCTATTACAAATTATTACTCTTCTTCAACAAGAAGTCCAGTTTTAGTTTGAGTTCTTATTTTTGATTTCTTTTTTTCTTTATATTAAGATTCATATAAAATTTATTCATTTTGATATTTGTTTAATTCATTTAGCAATTTTGAAATTAATGGTACTGTTATAAGAGCAATTGAGATGATTTCAATTTAAGTATGTTAGAAAAATAGAGAAATTATAACAGTTAATGTAAATGGAATGATAATGAGAATAGTTTATGTTTTGTATGTATCCATAAATGGATGAGATATAAAGAAATCTATTAAATTTCCAATCTAAATGATTAGAATTATAGCTATATTTAAATAATAATGTGTTGAATTATTTTCATATTCACTTTCAGAATACATTATAAAATAAAACTACTAGATGATCACTGGTAAAAGTATAATAAATTATGATAAATTAAACCAAAATGATTTTACTAATCTTAAATGATTTTGGTCTTTGATAGTATAAGTTTATTAAATTTGCATTGATAAATACCATAGTAGAATAGTTCCAACGTTAGTAAATATACTAAAGAAGATCATAAGACCTAATTGAATACTATTAAGATTATTATCATAATTGATAATTTACCAAACAAATAGGTTCCAAATTAGTAATGGTATTACAATTATATGAGGATATATATTAAAAAATGATGCTTAAGCAAATTTCTCCATTTATTGAAAAGATGATTATTCATTACCCATGAATTATTTTTATAAAAAATATTCAATGTAATTGTGCATATTGTAGGAACGATTTAACAAATTTAGATTATCTAAAATGATATATTTAAATACTATACAATTTAGATTATCTTGATCATCAATTGAAGAACAATATTTAATTGTTGAATACTCAAATTTCTCTTTATGCATAGTAAAGAAGGTAAATAAAATAGGTCCAAAAAGGAAAAAAATAATCAATGATTGTATAATTATAATTCCAAAATTAGGCAAACTCTCTAGTAATAGAATAGTAGGAACAGTAATTTTTGAAATCAACTCAAACAAAGAGTAATTATTAGTAGTTTTAAGATTGTGATCATAAATTCTAATTTCAAGAATTTCGATAATAATATTAAAGAGAAAAAGTAATGCTAGTTTTTAAAAATGACCAACTACTTCAATAAAGATCCAGAAATATTTAGAATCTCTTGAAAGTATAATTTGTGAAAATCCAATAGTAAATTATTGATACTCTAGCCAATATTATTTAATCATTTAAAATAAATGATAAAATTTGGATTTAATTATACCTCAAAAATATTGCATCTATATTTGAAATAAACCATTCTCATTTTCAATATCATCATAACTTCACCATAAAAATTATCAAAAATTGTCCAGCAATTCTAAAAACTAATTGAATTATATTAAGAATATTAACATCCCTTTTTTTGAATAGGATATTTCTGTCTAACTGGATTGATTTGATATGGAATTGCTTTAGATCACACAAATAGTAAATAAACTGTTAGAAATTAAAAAAATATGATAAATGTCATTATTTTATAGGAATCCATATATTAACTTACTTTTTATAATAAAGGTAAGATATATAATATTAATGAAATAGATGAAATATTATCTGCTATATTTTAAGCTTTAAGTATATAAATTGATATACAAATAAGAATAATTAAAATGTTTATTCTACTTTTTAGATTTATTAAATGCATCCAAATTTGTTTGATTTATATTACTTTTTAGAATAATATAGATTGTTTGAAGTATATAAGAATCATTTAGTATAAATTTGATAAAAAATGTTTATGATTTTAAAGTATATTATTTTAAGTATAGGATAGGATAGAATTAAAGTATATTAGATATAGTGAAGATAAGAAGTAAAGAATTTAAAATAGAAAGAGAGAGTTGTTTTTGTAATTTTATTGATTTTAAGTTGTGTATTTTAAAGATAAATATATTTAATTCAAAATGTACATGAGATCGATTTTAAAATTGAGATAAGCCTTTTCAGGTATATATGAATAAAGTAATAATTTAAGTATTAACAAAATACACAAAAGATCATGAATGGATTAAATATGATACATAAACAAAGATTGCTAAAATAGGAATAACTGATTATGCATAAAAGGAATTAGGTGATATAGTTCATGTTGATTTTTAAAAAGTAGGATTAGTATTTAAAACACACTAATCATTAGGAGCAATTGAAAGTGTTAAAGTTGCTGCTGATATATATGCTCCAGTTGCTGGTGAGATTGTTGGAGTAATATATTAAATTATAATAAGATCAACGAAGATTTAAAAGACTCACCAAATTTAATTAATGAGAAGGCAGAAGAAACATGGATTTTATAAGCAAAATTATAAAATGAATCTGAGTTAGATACATTATTAGATAAATAATCATATGAGAAAATCATTAATAAATGAGCATGTTATTAATAATTATAATACATTATTATTTACCAATTTAGTTATATTTTTATATTTTAATCAAATTTACATATTCAAACTATGATACCTAAATGATTTTCTCTAATCCATCCACAACAATTAATATATTTCTATTAATCTTTTATTGGTTATTCTGCAAAATATTTTATTATTCCTTATTCTTAATTCTTTTCTTCAATTTCTCTAACTTAATTTTCAAATATTGCTTCAATCAATAATTAATCTTCATCTAATTATTTACCATCCATTTTTGCTTAATAATATTCTTTCTCTATTGTTGGAAGTTAAACAATTCTTTTATTAATTAACTATTAATATTATTAATCAAAATTTATACATCCTTTATATTCTATAAGTCAAAATCTAAGGGTCCCATTTTTAACTTTTAATAAAATTATATTGCCTAAAAATACTTTCTTGTTCTTAATAACTTCTTTACAAATTCTATTAATAATTTTGTATCTGCTAAATTCTTAATTATATCATTAACTATTTAATCCTATTCTGCAGTAAATTCAATCTATAATAAATTATATGTATCATGCTAATTTAACATCTATTTAACAAAATATTTTAAAGTTTGATTATCTTTCAATTCTGTTACATAAACATAAGCTTACTATGATCTTTTAGATGCAATCAATAATCTTATTATTATATCACTATTGCTTAAATTATTCCAATCAATCTTACTAGCCAATAATATTTCATAAGCATCTTATACTAAACGTAATTCTATTAATCTTTCTATAACCAATAATTTCCAATTTTCTAATTCAAAATAGTAGAACATCATAAACTTTATAATTTAACTATAATTCTCTTCATTGTATTAAATCTATTCATTCTATTCATCGTATTCATTTTATTCATTCTATTCATTGTATTCATTTTATTCATTGTATTCAAATAAATGCTAATTTTATTCATTCTATTAATACTACTCAAATCTGCTTGAATCCATTAAAAATATTGCAGAATACAAACAAAAATACTTTGCTGTTACTATATTTGCATTTTGAATTTCTTAATTTTTTAAAACATATGTTATTAATAGCTCTTATTAATAAATTGTTAAATTTGACATCCTTAAGAATAATAATTACTCAAACTATTCTATTGTTATTTTACAAAGGATCACCTTTTTTAATAATTTATTTTAAGGTTTATTCAATAATTTTAAAATAAGTTCACTATGCTTTTCATAAAATTCATAGTTTCTTAAAAAACAATTTATATCAATTATTCTATTGAATTTTTATTATAAGTTGTTCAAATCTTTTTATGCAATATCAGAAAGTGGTAAATTGTTGATTTCCTTTTACTTTCGATCTATTTTCTAATAAATTTTATACTTATTATTGAGTTAAATAGTTTCACAATATGATTTGAAATCTATTTCTAAACCTCTAAATACTAATTCTATATTGCCTAATTTAATAAATTATTATGAATCTCATAAATTATATATGCCATATCATCTAGTTTTTTCAAGTAATAATAACCATTTAATGGTGATTAATCCCGCCTATACACCAATTTTATCAATATTTCTAAACCAATCTCATATTTAAGCATTTTAAACAATAACCTTTGTCTTGCTTCTTGATATTCTTTACATGATATCACTTCAGGATTTATTTACAATTATTCAGCTATTTTATCTAAAATATCTGGTAATATCATAAAATTCATATCAAAAAAGTTATGGTCTTAATTTGCTATTAAAGCACTCTCTTCAATATTTGATCCCAAATCTATAGGGATTTCTTAATTCATTTTATATTTTAATTATTTAAAGTCTAAAAAATTATTAATACCAAAAACAATAACTATGCAGATAAACTTATATTTATTCTTTATCAAATTATGCTTAATTAAGTAAAATTTTATTACTCATCTGTTGTTTTTGAATTGATTAATATAAAAACATAAACCAAAAAAAGTAATTTTATATAAAATGAATAACAAATAGATAAACTATAAAAATTAAAAAAAATAAATATCAAATCTAAACCTATTTATGCAGTATAAGAAAATAAAATAGAAATATAAATGAAGAATTAAAATAAAGAAAAATTAATTTTCATGAAAAATTTATAAATCTAATTATTATCATTAGTTGTTTATAATTTTATTTTTTTCTGTATTATTTGTTTTGAGACTTGTAATACTGAATTGTCGATCTAATTTATTTTTATTTTCAAAATTAAATTCACAATTTGATTTTCCCTTAGTTGACTATTTGAGTCTATGATGAAACCAAAAATTAATGTCAAAGGTTTTATACTCTTATAACATTTAAATTGCTTCGAGAGCTTAGGTAACATCTATCCTTTCTTTAGGATCAGGCTATATAAATAATTTAACTAAATCAAATGGTGGACCAATTTCTTTAATAGTGTATTAGCATTATTTATTTTAATAAATGGTCTCTTTTTAATTTTCCCCTTAAAATAAACATTACAAAGTCAATAATTAATAAAAGATACACCCAATACTAAATAAATCAACTTTATAATCATATTTAAATTTTTTATTCCAAGCATTAAGTACTTCAGGAGCTGAATATCCAGCAGTACCACATGTTGGATATTATTAAAGTTAATTACCATTTAAACAAGCTAAACCAAAGTCAATAATTTTTATTTAATTTTTATGATACATTAAATTAGCTGGTTTAAGATCTCTATGAATAATACCAGCCTAGTGAATGCTTTGTAATCCTAATAAAATTTACTATAAATATATATTTAAATAATTATTACTTCCATTATTTTTAAAGATTCTTTGATTTAGAAGGGTTTTTGCTTATATTCCATAATTTGTTTGAGATTTGAACCAGGAATATATTCTGTTACTATATAAAAATTATTATCGTCTCTAAATATTTCTTATAATTTTAAGATATTTTTAGAATCTTTAAGCTTTTTTAAAATGATAATTTCATTTTTTATTGTAGGAACATCATTGTTTTCTAATTTAATATTTTTTATAGCAACTGCTTTTTAAGTAAATCTGCATGTTTCTTTTGTAACATTACCAAATGAACCAGATTAAATTATTTCATCTTTTTTATAGAACTTATCAATTTTCTCATAACAAACAAAGCCTCCCATTATTATCTTTAGATTTAGTAAATCATTGTGATTACCATAGAAATCTTTTATTTTATTTTCATAAGGAAGTTAAAATCCAATAATTTTATTTTCTTTTACTATCCAACTGAAAATTTTATCTAAACTAAGTGAATATCTATATTTTGGATTCTGTTAACTTTGCTTCTAATCATTACTAGTATTCATACTTCACAAAGTATTAAACTTTGATTTGTTAATACTAAATGATATTTGCTATTTAGGAAAAAGTGCTTTCTTTCAACAACACATTAAAACAAAACTTGGATTTAGGTATCGAGTGAGATTTTTTATTGTAATTGAGGCTGATTAGAATCTTATAACATTTATTAATGTTTATTTAGAGACTATTTTCATCATAAAATAATCGATAAATTTGAAGATCTAAACAGAATTTTCCTGAAAATAAAATCTATTGGATTAACAGAGCATTTTGAATTTGAATAACATAAAAGATGAATTTTTTAGAATATATTGTTAATTATCCATTAATTTTATTTTTTATACATTGCTATGAAAAATCTGTCAATTTCCTCAAGAGAAACTCTTATGAATTATTATCTACTTTAAGAAAAACTATTCTGGAAATAAATTGACAGATTTCTTTTATTAATGAAGTGATAAAAAGTTATTATTTTTATTTTATTCTTTATAAATAAAGTAAGTAGAGTAGATAATAACTTTAAATTTTTGAAAAAGTAAAATCATGTAGTAATTTTTGTTGAAATAATGATAATTATGACACCTATAATTTATAACCATCTTGAACAAAAGTGGAATTACCTTTCGCAGGTTCTATCATTCATTTTTTGAAGCATTAAACTAACAGAACAAGAAGATTCTTATGGTTCTATTGTTATATTGAGACAATCTTTAGTATTGTTGAAAATCTAAATTTAATGGTTCAACATTAAATCTTTGATTCGAATTTTTAAAAGATGTGAACTCATACTAAATTTTCATTAGGTTAGAATACAAAATCATATTATTTCTAATATTTTGTGATTTTTTATAACTCTAGCTACTCCACCCTTTATTTTTTTAACTTTTTCATTTTATAGATTATAGGCTTGTTATATATTATTTATAAACTAATCACTTTTTTATTTGTAAATACAATTAACACATTGATTTCAGATATTTTTATAATTTCCTCCAAAGTTTAATATTATTAATAATAATTTGAATAAAATTTATGATAATTACATAAACCTATTTTAAAATGATTGATTTGAAGAATTGTTTAATTTTAAAGTACTTTTGGTATAAATAAATGCTGAAATAGAACTTCAATTTATGAATGTATTTTGGATATTTAATATTTAAAATATTATTCTTATAATTAATTACTCATTATTTAGCAGCATTAGATAAAATTCCTCTAAAGATTTTGGATCCACCAAAATTAAGTACCTAAAAAAGTGTAAAATAATGATTATACTGGTGATTATTATTTGTTTGTTCTTTTACTTTCATTTTTCTATTTATTATTTGCTGGTTTATGCTCCACAGAATGAGATCTTTCTTTTCTATCATCAGGAGTAGGTGGCAAATTAACTGGATTTGGTATTGGAGTAATAAATTATAATACTAATTTTTTGTTTTTAGAAGTTTTAATCTAATTATCACATTTTTTAGCTCTCTCTTTGTTCTCCTTAAAAATATAAATAAATTGTTACTTTTTAAACTTTTTTATCACTTTCTTTTTTAGCTGCTAAAACAAAATTCTTATAAATCAAAGATTCTCTAACTTATTTGATTTCAGTCAAACCTTAGAAATAAGAATCAAGTAATTGTCTTCTTTATTCAATAAGTTATAAATTAGTATTAACAGATTTCCACCAATAAGATCCTGGGAAGATTGGTAAGTTAACTTTTAATGTTTCTAGACTTTCATGAAACTTTTTAAGTTCTGAATATCTTAAATGAATTTAGAATCCTTAAAGTATTTTCTAGTTTTGAAAGCTAATAAAATTTAAATTATGTTTTACTGAACTCTATATTAGACTTAATCCTCATTTTTCTTAAATTCTGGAACTGTAATGAGGATGTCTATTTCAATATCTTACATAAACCTTTCTTTTAAATTCACAAATATATAAAAATAATTCTTTAATTTTTTTGTAAAATCTGTTTTGAAATTCAAAATATAATAATAAATGATATTATTAAATTTATTGAGTGATGAATTATAAGATTTATAAATTTTATTCCAATGAATAATAAATTCAATGAATAAAGTATTATATTAAAAAATTGAATAAATACTTAAACTAATAAGTAGTTTGAGTATTATAATTATAAACAAATTTGATTCATTTCTTATATTTTTAATTAGATTCTTCTTGTTATTATTATAATAACTATTTTAAAAATTTAACTTCCTCCTTTAAACTATTCTTTTCTTATTTCCATAATGCTTCTTTTGTTTAATAAGAATTTAAAATTTTAGATGTTTTTAAATATAATTCTTAAAGAAGATTATTAAAATTAATTTATTTTGATGATGCTATTCTTTTCTTTTCTGCTGAATTCAATTTATTTTCACAATTTTATTTTTCTTCTAGATTTCTAGCAGTACCATTCTCTAATATAAATAAATCTCATACATTTTTTATGACTTTTTTATTAAATGTATTATCTAAGGACTTCATTTAATGAACCAAATACATTCATATGATTTTATTTGTTATGAGTACTAGTAAAAAAGCCTTAAGTATAAATAAATAGATATACCTGATGCAATTTTATTGATATTATTTGGACTTCTTTAAAGACTTTTGGATGTCATAATATTTTTTAATTACGCATGATCATCATCTTAAACAAAATCACCTAATTAAGGAGGTCTTTTTTTTTTATAATCAATTTTTGCGCTTTACTCTTTTTAAGGTAGATTTGTTTAAGGTTATAGAAGTTAATTTAATGTATTTCCATTTCTTTTTATGGTATTTTCTTTTACATTTTGATTTAGTTTGAAAACATGATTTAACTCATTTTTTACATTCCCTTAACCTTTGCCATTTAATGAAGCTTTATTTATACTATGTCTTAAAAGAGATTCTATTCCATCCTTTGGACTAGCAATTTTTTATTTTAGCTTATTTTTTATAGCATCTGGTTAACCACTACTCAAACATTACTGAGATTTTTAATTGCTTTATGAATCTGAGTGCTCATGATTTCGTATTTCTTGTGGATAAATTGGTGTATTAATAGATAATAGTTTCTGTAAAGCAGTTAATGCTTTAGGTGTTATTTACATAAATAAATATTATTTCCTATATTAGTATAAAATTAAAAAAACAACTAACAAATTATAACGAATAATATTATAATTAAATTAATTATATCATTTAAAAATAGTATCATAATTACTTTATTAATTTATTTTTTGTTCACTGAGATTGCTTGCTTAAACAATACATTTTTTAACTTAAAGATTATATCATTCATCAATTTCTTTTTACATGATATCTAGATTATCATAATAATCTACACCCTAAATTACGATTATATCTTTATCTTGATTATTATATTAATTAAATTTATTAAATTATTGTAATTGTTAAGTAGTAAAAATGGTTTAAATTTGTTTTCTAATTTTTCATAAACTCTCTTTATATCTTATCTATTGAAATTATTTGTTGATGGGAGATGCATTACAACTTTTTTTGATGGGAAATTTATTAAAATTATTTGTTGATGGGAGATGTATTTATTCTAAAATTAAGCTATTAAATAATATTTTATTATGCTTCATTAATAAATAAAAGGCTAATATCAATATATAAAAAATCTTTTATATTTTAATTTATTGTTTTTTTTGTCCTTAGTATAAGATAAATTTAAGATTATTTAAGAATAACAATTTTTAATTACAAAACTACTTATTTTTGCTATAAAAATTATCCTAAAAACTAAAATTAGTTAATAAAATTTATTTAAATTATACACTCAAATTAATTTTAAAAGAAATAACCGTTACTTTTAGAAATAACACATTAAAAAGATTTAATCATGAAGTATTATACTCTTTAAAAGAGTTTACTTTGCTTCTATAATTATTTTATCAACTAGTATTGTAATTAACAAATAGATATAAAATAAATAATTGTAATTTACATATAGAAATATACTTTCATGTCAATAAATATTAACATAATATTTTGGTACTTCAAATTAAATATCAAATAATAGTTTTTTATCCACTAAATACATTTATTCTCTTTTTGGAGATTTAAACACTAGTTAGTTCACGTATTTAACAACTAAATTTTTAGATTCATTGTCTTATTAGGAAACAGCTGATTATGTTTAAACTTCTAATACAAATTTCATATACCTTGTATTTCATTTTTATTCTACTCTAAATGTGAATAATCTGAAGATGCATTTTTTAATTAAAAAGAACTATTTAAATGATCTATTTATTTAACTTCTTCTTTTTCTAAATAAGGTTCTTATCCTTCTTTTTAAAATCTTAATACTCCTTTAAATTTAGTTACTTCCCCTTACTAAACCATATATAATTTTATACCTCTTCTAATCCATTCTCTATTTAAGAGTCTTACTAAGAAATTCCAAAATTTGTTGGTGTTTCAGGTAATAAAATATCAGATTAAATTTATTCATGATTTTATTGTTATTTTTATTGATTATCCAAATCAACTAAAATACTACTTTCATCAATTTTTTATGAATTTTTCATTTCAATCTAATTTTATTATTATTAATCTAAGCCAGAAATTATTAAATTCTCTTATTACATTTAATTTTTAGCAATTTATTTAGATTCACTTACTAAAATATTATTAATTAATCAAAATTACTTTATGAACTGCTTAAACTTAAAGCTTTATCTATGGATTATTCTTAACCATCATTAATTTTTTCTAAAGATAAGGATTTATTTAATTCTGCTTATTAATCTTCTTATTAATTTAATAAGATTTCATTTTATTCTTGATTTTCAATGATTTATTATTATTATTATTGTTGTTATTATTATTATTATTATTGTTATTATTATTATTATTATGATTATTATTATTATGATTATTATTATTTTAATTCTAAATTTTTTTGTAATTAAGTTTCTTTATTGTTTTGTTCTTCTTTTCCTTCATCAACTTCTTATTTTTTATTTAATTAAGAAAAATTAAATGAATGCAATGCCCCAGATGCAAATTCACATCCTAAAGCACCAGGTCCACCCCAATTAAATTTAGGTTCTAAAATAACTATTTTTGGTGATTCTTTAGTTAATGGTGAAAATAAACATAACTATTCATAAATTAATTTAATTTACTTCTATTGATTATTTTGAATAAGCTTGTCCTGTTACAATATCTGAGAATTCATCAATTGTTTAATATCTATGAGATTTAACTCCTAAAAGATAATCTTAATTGCTTTTAAGTCCACTTAATTCAGCTGGACTACCCTTTAATACTTTTGTAATATGTAATATCAAAGGATTGATTGATTCATATCTGATGTAAAGACCCAATTTAATTGTAGATCGTGGCTCAGATATATAGATTTTTCTTATCTCCAATGAAAATATATTGAAAATAGACAACTCTATAGGTTCATCACTTTCAAGTAATTTAAGTGCATTCACCTAAGAATCGGATTTAATCTGGATGATGTAATCTAAAAAGATTTCCAAATCTAAAATTAAAATAAATGTATACTGAGATTAGATCCAAATGAATTAGGTTCGATAGATATGATTCTGTATCCATAACCATTTCCAATTTGTGAAGAATTATTGCCCATTTATAATATTTATATATATATATATTATTATATATGTGTCATAGGGCACAAGCAAATACATTAACTATTCCTATAATTGCTTCAGTTTCATGCTTGATGGTGAGTGATCCATCAGTATCATTATCCCAATAGCAAGATCCAGAAATGTTTAAGCCACACTCAGCCTTTTACATTAAGAGGCAGTTAACAATGAATTTGAAATTTTTGTTATGAGTTGTTAATTGTTTCAAAATTGAATCACAAATTTTATTACTCTTTACTTAAGCATCATTATGATCATAAGTTAATTTATCTAATTCTTTTTACAAAGTAGACTAAACAAATTTCTAGACTTCATTTTTTAATGGACCATTAAAACTAACTACGTTTGCATATTAATCCATTTGTTATTTTAATTTAAATTATAATTATTTTAATATATAATCAGTATGATGATTTAATTTAGAACTTATATACACTTCCTTAATGTTTTTTTCTTGTTAACAATTATGAATTAGATATAGGGGTAAAATCTACTCTTACATTATGTATGCTTTCTACATTTGTTTAATGATGGTCAGGTTTAGTAGTCTTAGTTAAAGTGAACAAAGGTTTAGTGATTTCAATTGTAGGTTAAACATTAATTGAGAGCTTCTTTAGTTTATTCTACATGATCTTCGCATATGTTAGTGAATTAAAATTAGATTAACTTTATGATCTTGTTTGTCCTTAAGTTTTAATACTGGATCTTAGACTAAATTACAAATCCTTACTTTTAAGTTCGTTTTCTGATTAGAATAAAAGTCTATTTCTTTAATTTCTTGTTTCAGATCTGATTAGATTCATTTCATTAACATATGGATCACTTCTGAAAGGGACTAAAAAAGAATATTTATCAGCTTGTATTGTTTCAATATTTTCAATACTTTATTTTAGATTTTCAATTTCATAGTAATAAATTGCCTTTTAAGCTTATTCGACAGTTTTTTCCATTTTTTTTCTCAATTTGTCAATTTATTATTCAACTTTAATTTTTTTATAATAAGATGATTTGATTTAATCTAAATCAAATTGATAGGTTTATTCTTCAGTTTGATGAGCAATATTAGTATTTTCATTAGTCCTTTATCCAAGATGACTTTGGATTTAGAATTTAAGATTTTGATATTTAAGAAAATCATCTATAGAAGAATAAAGTTAAAAATAATCTAATAATTATCGATATTTGATTCTATAATAGGTAGAATCAGTTTTAGCTTTAGCAGTAGTAATTCTATGATTGAATTATTTGAAATGTTCAAAATCCCCAAAAAACTATCCAGAATTGATAATGGCCATAATACTAGGTTTAGAGACAAAATTATGATGATTAGATAATTAGTCTTTCTTATGATTAGACCATTGTATAACTTCAATTTCTCCATTAATAACTAAATAAATAAATTCATCAATATTTCCTTTTTTAAAAATAAATTATCCAACTTTTTTATTTTAGACTTCAAGACTTTATAAGAGAACTAATTAATTTTATCTTTGCCAAACACTAAATATAGGTATTTTAGTAATGAATGCAATTTTTTAATTGGTTAGTTCATGTTAAAATGCTCCAAGTATTCTTTAATAGAGATCATATGTAATAACAGCTAAAATAACTTCAGTTTTAGCAGCAACTGTAGCTGTTCTTGTGACTTTTTATTCTATAGCTATTTCACCAAATTAATCTCCTTCCATTTTGGTTGCAACTTATGTGTAATCAGCAAAAACATATTTTACCCATTCTTCAAAAGAACTTAATTAGAAAATGAGATAATACTTAAATTTTTATTTCTTTAAAGGTTAATTTTCTGAAGTATTTTTAGTTTTAGGAATCAATATAACTAATTCACCTTGTAATACGAAATACATTCTTCTTCCAGGATCACCATGTCTGAATATGATTTTTGTACTATCATACCATTCTAATGTCATTTCTCTAAAAAGTGATTTACAACTTTCTTAATCTAATTTCTCTTTGAATTTACTAAACTAATTTAATTGTGTTCATACCTATAATATGAAAAGTTTTCTTCAAAATACATTTTAACTGCATCTAATTATTCATCTGTTCTATTTTATGAGTATTATTTCAAAATATAGATAGTTCTTTATAATTATATAGTTTTAGTATGAGAACTATCTCTTTACCAAAGAGTAGCTGCCTTTTCTAAAATACTCATATTTCGACGTTCTTGATCTTCCTTTTATTTTGCCGACAACACTATTTATTAAAATGCATTCGTAACTCCTTTTTAAGATGTGCTATTTTTCATATAAAATTTTATTATCTTTTTAACTAGTTAAAAAAATGTATACATTCACAAGTTGATAAATTTACTTCATTTCTTTATATATAAAATGGCAGTATAATATAATCCAGATATTAATAAAATACTTGAATTTAATCATATTCAGTTTTCATAAAAATAATTCATTCTTATCAAGTAATCATAATAAGAATATGATTATAATTATAATTATTAAGCTGAATATATATGAAAGTATATTATTATTATCAATTAATTCTATCTTCCATTACATCAAGATATAAATCAATTCACAATTGTATAATTTATTTAATCAATAGGTTAAACTTGAAGAATTAAGAGATGAAAAACTTTTATATTAAATTAAAAAAATAAAGACTTTTCAGAATATAAATAAGAAAGTAATTTTGAAAATATTAGAAATCTACTTAAAAGAGAAGATCTAATAACATCTGGAATCTAAATTGTTTTATATTAATTGATTTATTTTAAGGATAATTTTCTATGAATTTAAATATATTAAAATATTAGATTATATATTTATGTCATCTCGTAATAATTCTTGTGATACCGCGATAGGATTATAATCAAGTATTGTTTTATTATTTAGAATGAGAACTTATTGCTCTTAAAGCAGAACTGAAAAAGGCATAAAGTGTAATAATTTAATAGTAACACATGTTATAAGTCTAAAAACAATTGATGGATAGAAAATAATCAATAGACAAAGTGAAATAGAAATTGGTAAATAATTTAAATATTGAGAATTAATCATTAGTAACTATATATAGAATATCTAATTAGCGAAATTAAGTAATAAAATTCGAAAAGTTAATATAAGAGAAAACTTAAGAACTTGAAAAAATGAGTTTGGTAAATAAAAATTTGACAGCTGCTAATAATTAACTTATTGTTGAAATGTCTAAATAATTAAATGGACCAACTTCAGAAGAAAAAGAAATTCGAATATAATAAATAAAAAGATTATCAATTATTGATGCTAGACCACCTCCTCCTCCACCTTTACCATTACCACCTTAAAAAACTAAAATAGAATAAGAATAATAACGTAAAAAACCTAAAAGATAATTGAAATAATTACATTGGGAAGCTATTTTAATGTAAAAAGTAGAATAAAGTTTTTGGAATGAATTAGATGATTTAACTATAAAATTAGATTATGAATAATTAGAAGAACTATTCTATTAATAAGGAAATGTTACTTAATCATAATAATAATAAGTACTATTATAAGTAGTACAGTAACCAAATTTGAATTAAAATATATAAATTTTAAATTAAGAAAGATCAGTAAGTATTTTATATTGATAATAGAGAAGTGTAGAATTAGTTATTGCTAAATATCGTCTTACAAGTTAATTAGTAATATAGGCTGTTAGTAATCTCGATTTAAAATTTTTGGATTCTGAAAAAATTGAAGCCTTAATGAAATGTTTACCATAAGGCAAAGAGATTGATCATTTAGAAAAAGTTAAATCTATAAGAAATACTTAATAAATCAAATTAAATATTCCTGAGAAATTCTTAGTTGAATTATATGATATGCCATTTTTTGAAGAAAGATTAAGTTCTATAAATTTTAAGATGAGTTTTATTGATATAAAGAAATCGATTGATATGAAAATGTTATTACTTAAAAATGCTTGTTAATAATTATTACAATGTAAATATTTGGAGAAATTCTTATTGTGTTGTTTAGCAGTTGGAAATTATTTAAATATAAATACTACTAAAGGAAGTATATGATATGATTAATTATTTATAAGTAATAAAAGGATTTAAATTAGAATCGATAGAAAAATTTAATTTGATTAAGGGAAATGATAGAGAAACTTCGTTAATAATTTATATTATAAATGTGGCAGAACAGTAAAATATCACAGTATTTAATTATGAAGATTATGAAGATTAATTGTTAAATAGTTAATTAATGAATTTAATAGTAGAAGTGTCTAAATTTTCATTAATTTAAATATTTAATAATGAAATAAATCAGATTAAGATTGGATTAAAACATTTGGAAAAGATGTTTACAATAAATGACTAAAATATTATAGAAGCTTATCAGGAATTCTAATAGGAAGTATTAGATTATTATAAAGTAATTGAAAATGAATATTTGAATTTACAAAAACTATATGAGAAATTATGTGATCATTATGGTGAGAATTATTAAAATTATGAATCAGAAAAAGTATTCTAAAAATTCAATTAATTGTTAAATTTGGTGAAAAAGGCAAAAATATAATCAATATCAATGAAACTATCTTAAGTAAATGAGAATAGGATTAAAGAAACATAATCTCAATTATCAAGAGTTAGATAGAGCAGTAAATAATTAATATAATACATAAAGTTATGGTAGAAGAATAAGAATAAGGAAATTCTGTTAAGAAATAAGTGGAATAAGCAAAACGATTACCATTACATGAACTATTAAAATTAAAGAGTAAGTTTAAAGCCAAAGGAAATGGGAAATTATAAGAGTGAAGACTGTAGTAATTATCTCATTTATATCTGTTAAATAACAATTATTAAAATATTCGTTGTATGTTTAAATTCAAATTAAATAAATATTAATAATAAATAAAGGATGTTTAGACATAGAGATTTAAATACATTCTTATCAAATTACTAGACCTTTGATAGATAACCTAAGAAACCATATGAATATTTGAATCTGTCATATCATTAATAATTTGATCATTCACCTATAAGAAAATAAGCATAGACTTCAAAACCAAATGATATTTAATATAAGAGTCTTTAAGAACCATCATTCTTGAGATAAAGTTTATTACCTAATTATGAACCTACAAAGTGTTCAAGTTAAAGGAATGGAATTATTAAAGCATATGCTGCAAACACAAATTAAGGAATTGTTAGAGATTATAATGAAGATAGAGTCTCAATAATATTAAATATTATTAAACCATAAAGTAGGAATTCAGAATAATGGCCTAAATGTTCTTTTTTTGGAGTTTATGATGGACATGGTGGAGCTGCATGTGCTGATTTTTTAAGAGATAATTTACATTAATTTGTTGTTAAAGAACCAGATTTTCCATGGAATCCAGTTGGAGCAATCACTAAAGGATTTCAAGCAGCTGAAAAATCATTTTTATAAATTGCATAAGAATCTTATAGTAAAGGAATACCTGAAAGAAGTGGATCATGCGCTATTGTAATATTAATTATAGGAGATAATTGTTATACAGCAAATGTTGGAGATAGTAGAGCTGTTTTAAGTGCAGCATCTGGAAGAAAAGCTATTGCTTTATCACATGATCATAAACCTGAATTAGAATAAGAAAGAATAATGAAAGGAGGTGGATCTGTTTATTAAACTTATGGTATTAATGAAGAAGGAATGCAAATATTAGGACCAGTTAGAGTTAATCCTGGAAGATTATCAGTTTCAAGAACTTTTGGAGATATTGAAGCTAAATTAGAAAAGTTTGGTGGAAATCCAAAAGTAGTTATAGCTGAACCTGAAATAAAACAATTCAAAATATCAAATGAACATGATTTTATAGTTTTAGGAAGTAATTTAATATATTTTATGTAAAGGCGATGGAATTTTTGATAAATTAAGTTCAACTGATGTTATGAATATCATTTGGAAAGACATATTAAATTATTAAATGGGAAATAATTTACATACAGTTTTATCTACTTCAGTAGAATCAGTATTATAAGAAAGCATATAAAGAAAGAGTACAGATAATGTTACTTTATTAATTGTTGCCTTTTCAGTGGCATCTTTAAAAGAAGAAGAATTGAGAATTAAAACATCATCATCTATTGAAAAATTAATAAAAGTTCCATTAACAAATAATATTCCTAATATGAGAATGAGGTAGAAATCTAATGTTTAATTTAAGTTATTCCAAAAAAACAAATGATGAAAACAATCCTTTTTTTATTAACACTTAAAAGATGAATCCACATCCTAAAAATAGTAAATAAAAAGTAGAAGAAACAACAACTAGATATAAACCTAGTTATATTAACTGATTATAACATTAGAATAATTAATTCTTTTTAATAAAGTAATCCATTTAGTCATGTTCTTTTTACTTTTTAACTGTATGGTCTTTAAGTGTTAGTTTATGTTATCTCTTCATCTAGACCAGCTTCAACCAATTTTTATTTCAATCCTTTTAACTATTATTCCAATAATTAATTTTTGGTTTACAGAGTTTCAATTTAAGTGGCTAAATCTGAATTACGATGTTATTCAAAACGTGATAGATTCTACTTGTTATAATTTTAACCCTTTATTAGTTTACCCTTCTTTAAAAATCTATTTGTAACATAACCATTTACTAAATCAACTGATTAATTAAGTGGTTATAAATTAGCTTCATCTTAAAGAATTACACTATTCTCCCTTATTAATACTCAATAATATACTTCTTATTAATGACTCTTACGTCTCTGTTCATGCTATTAAGTTGAATTAGCTCTGTTCTGTGATTTAAGTAAGGATTCATATTATGATATCTATTAAGCTAATTTAATCTCTAAACTCTTTTTTCTTTCTTGAACCTAATTCAAATGTGTTAAGAGATGCAAATTTTCTTAGGTTTTTAAATAGATTTCTTAATCTCTCCATAATAATAATTTTTTAAATTTTTTATCATTTTCTTAAGAAGATTTGACCAAGAATTAATTTTATCTACTTAATTCATTAGTAATTTCACCTGTGAAATGTTTTTGATAAAGTTATTTTAATTATTGAGGCCAATCCTTATTTAATTAATATTTAATACAGATTCTCTGAATTCATGAATCATTGATGTTATGTCTTTAATAAATAATTTGATAGATATTTCAGTCTTTTTATCTTATTCAGTTATATTTTCTGGATTCCTAATATCATCGTTTTTTTAGCTTTTACTTATGTACTTTGAATACATTTATTTCATAAAATCAACCCATTCCTATATATTAAAAAGACAACCTTACTTTTTCTTTCTTTTCATGATAACAATTATATATATCCATTGTTATTTTTTTGGATAAATCTTGATATTTCTTACAATTCTATTTTATTTTATCATTTTCTTCATTCATAACTTTAATTTAATTAGTCATTCTTTTATCTTTTTCTTCATAATTTTTTAATTTTGTTGATAATTCATTTATTTCTTCTTCTAATTTTGGAATACTTTCAAGTAATTCTTTAATCTTTTTATCTTTCGGTTCCATTTCTGTTTACATTTCATAAGTTTTATAGCTTAAAACCAATTTAGACTTTTATAAATCTCCTATGTATTTTTAATATTATTTAATTTATTCATTGCAATGAGATAATCCCTATTCATGTAAATCAATTTTATCCATCAATTCTTTATTCTAATTTTATAATTCTTATATATATTTTTCACAATCTTTTTATCTTTATTTTTCCAATTCTAATTATTCTTTAACAAAATCAATTTCTTTGCAATTATATTTTTCAGATTTATATAGAACCAATTACTTATCTTTTTTTAAGATTTCTTTCTATAATTCTTCAATCTTTTATTTAAATTTTTATTTAGTACATTCTATATAATCATTTAATATATCATCATCTAAAATGATTGATTGATTATTATTTTATAATTTTTTAATGTCATTTTTATTAGATATGATAGTATCATAAAGTAATTTCAAATCAGATTAAAATTTACATTTAATTTCCTTAATTTATTTAGAGCAATCACATTCTAACTCTTTTAAGTTTTATTAATATTTTTATCTTTCTTCAATTAGAATTTATTCCAATTATAGATATTTTTCATTTTCTATCATTATTTTTTTCTCATAAAGAGTTTCTAATTCTTAAACTGCTTTGAATTGATTGTTTTCTATATTTCTAAATAAATTAAAATGTTATTTTTCTTATTAAACTTTTTCATTTTTGATTTATTGATAACTAAGATCTCTAAATTCGATTTCTTCGTTAAATTGTGATTAAAATTCAGATTGTTACATAAATAATAATATTAATATAAATTATTTGTATATATAATGACATCATTTTCCAAACAATGTACTTCTGATAATAGGCAATGAGTCTTAAAATGTTTAATCAGTTCTAACATCTAAGGTGTTTTTACAAACAATCAAGCCATCCTTATTTGTCATTAAAATTCCACCAAAACATTTTTTATCGTTTTCAGTTTTAGATATAACCTTAAGTATATATATAAATATTTAATACTTCTTAAGCTGATTCTTGTATAGAATAATCTTAAACACTTTTAATTGAATTGTCAATAAGTGTTCTTTCATCTAAACATTTTTCTTCATCGATATCAATTGTTACTTCAAATTCTAATCCATTTAATTCTTTCCTTAGAATGTCTTAGAATTCAGAAATAGCATCATCAATAACATTTCTTACATGTCTAATATCACGATATAAACATCTTTAGAATTAAAGAATATAAATACCTTATTACAACTTCATGTTCAAATAATTTAATTAATCCTTAAACCATTAAATTCTTAAGTAATTCTTCATAAAACCTTTCATCTTATCTGATCATTTTATAAATTTGATATTATGACTAAATGATTATAAGAATATATATACATCTGAGAAAATCTTAGTTAAAGCTTAATTTCTAGCATTCATTAATCTCATTCTAGCACCATTTACAAGAGCACTATGTTTAATTCTCTCTTGTTAAGCTTTCTTCTTAAATTTTGTATTAAATTCTTCTTAAATGTTAGATTTCTCTCTTTCCACAATTTGTTTTTTCTCTTTCTCAAATTACTTGAAGGCTTTAACTTCAATTTCAAAACATTTCTCCCTTGCTTCTTAGAGCACAAATTCAGCCAAAGATATCTAATCTTACAACATTATTAATAAATATTTATTAAATATATAATTTACAATATTAATCAATAGATATACATTATAATAAATCAATCAATCAAACTTATTATATCTATTCTTAATTAACATTTCCTAGTAATATATTTATTTAGGATAATCTTATATAGAAATTTATTGAAATGTTGAGCTATTCTAATAAACCCTATTTCTTTAGTAAAGATTAATATCCTTTATTTAATTAATCTATTAAAGTTGTTAAATTATCATTTATCTATCTATCTTTATTTATTTATTAGTATTAATATAAATATTAAGGCTAGAACTAGTTGGATAGATATTAGAAGATAGATCTTAATAATTCTGATTAATTATAAGGAGAATAAGAATAATATAAATAAACAGCTACCTCTTATCCTGATGATGGATTAAGAAGAATTCTATCCAACAGGATCATTCTTATCCAATATAAATTTAAGCAAATTATAATCAATTATTATGGAATCATTTCATAAAGGGTATAAAGACTATTGATTATGCATACATTGTTAATCTTAAAATATTATTTATTACTGATAATTTCTTAATCATTTATTATCAATATATATTACAAGAATATCCTAAAAATCAATAATTCCATTCTGATATTTTCTAATCATCACAAATCCTATTTTCATTTTTATCGTTTGTTTAAACACTAAAATATTAAATTTATTTTGGACTATTCTCTAGTTACCATCTTTCTGATTATTATTTATTAAATTAATATTTATTTCCAATATTTTTCTTCTTTTTCTCTTCTATTTACTTCATTATTACTTTTGATACTTATATCTTCTCTTCACTTAGACTAAATAATTCATTTATTGCATTATTTTCTTAATTTGATAATAATTTATAGAAATCTGTAAAATCAATCAAATTTTCATCATTTTTACTATATTCTTTTCTAAGCAAAAAATAACAATAATGATCAACTTTATATGTTTTGTACTTACAATACGAATAGTATACATTAAAATCAATCTAACTATGTAATTATTATTTTAATTATTATAATTCCATGAATTTTTTACAATAAAATTATAGAAGTTCAAAAACTTTTGCATTTATTTATATTATTCCTTTTATTTTATATTCAACCTTTCTAAAAGTCACTTCTTATCTCAAAAATGGATTATCTATGGATATAATCATGTCAAAAAAACTAATCATTTTTATTTTATATTATACTCTTAAAAATTTAAATTACCATCAAGATCGCTATCAAATATTTTATATATCATTGATATTCCNTATAGAAATTTATTGAAATGTTGAGCTATTCTAATAAACCCTATTTCTTTAGTAAAGATTAATATCCTTTATTTAATTAATCTATTAAAGTTGTTAAATTATCATTTATCTATCTATCTTTATTTATTTATTAGTATTAATATAAATATTAAGGCTAGAACTAGTTGGATAGATATTAGAAGATAGATCTTAATAATTCTGATTAATTATAAGGAGAATAAGAATAATATAAATAAACAGCTACCTCTTATCCTGATGATGGATTAAGAAGAATTCTATCCAACAGGATCATTCTTATCCAATATAAATTTAAGCAAATTATAATCAATTATTATGGAATCATTTCATAAAGGGTATAAAGACTATTGATTATGCATACATTGTTAATCTTAAAATATTATTTATTACTGATAATTTCTTAATCATTTATTATCAATATATATTACAAGAATATCCTAAAAATCAATAATTCCATTCTGATATTTTCTAATCATCACAAATCCTATTTTCATTTTTATCGTTTGTTTAAACACTAAAATATTAAATTTATTTTGGACTATTCTCTAGTTACCATCTTTCTGATTATTATTTATTAAATTAATATTTATTTCCAATATTTTTCTTCTTTTTCTCTTCTATTTACTTCATTATTACTTTTGATACTTATATCTTCTCTTCACTTAGACTAAATAATTCATTTATTGCATTATTTTCTTAATTTGATAATAATTTATAGAAATCTGTAAAATCAATCAAATTTTCATCATTTTTACTATATTCTTTTCTAAGCAAAAAATAACAATAATGATCAACTTTATATGTTTTGTACTTACAATACGAATAGTATACATTAAAATCAATCTAACTATGTAATTATTATTTTAATTATTATAATTCCATGAATTTTTTACAATAAAATTATAGAAGTTCAAAAACTTTTGCATTTATTTATATTATTCCTTTTATTTTATATTCAACCTTTCTAAAAGTCACTTCTTATCTCAAAAATGGATTATCTATGGATATAATCATGTCAAAAAAACTAATCATTTTTATTTTATATTATACTCTTAAAAATTTAAATTACCATCAAGATCGCTATCAAATATTTTATATATCATTGATATTCCTTGTACAGATAAGTTTGGAAACTGATCTTAAAGTTAAGTTATATTTAAAAGCATTGAATTATTAGTCAATGTACTCCAATAACTGTAAGATTCAAAGTTCTCAAGTGAACATAAGGAATGTTTATAGTTCTCTGCCTCTTAACAAATTTAACTTAAAGTATCGAAATATTTATGTAAAGTGATCATAAAAATAATATAATATAATTATTACAAAGATTAAATCAAAATTCTGCTTCTTCTTCATCATAATCATATGACATTTAATAATTATTAAAATGAGGGCCATATTCAGATATCAAATCATTTAAATCAGATTCAGCTTCAGTGAATTCCATTTTATCCATTCCTTAAAGTTCATAAATATAAACAAATGCCTTTCTTTTAAACAGTTTAATAAAATCTTCTTAATATTTCTAAAGATATTTTTTAAATCCATTAGAATTGCCTAAAAATCCAATAATGTTTTCATGATCTCTATGTTAAATTCTAGTATGTACTCTATAATGAGTATCATGACCATTAATTTAATAGAGATCATCTTTTTTAATTAACAATGATTGAGATTCAGGCATTTCAAAACAATTACCTCTCAATTAGATTTGATAAGAAAGATATTCAGTAGGTAAATTATCTTCAAAAGAACATAATTTATATTTTTATTTTAGAATGTCAGTCATACTCCAATTAATTTAATTAACAATCATGTATTTAGGTTATAAAAAATGTATTCTAGGAAATGGTATTAAATTTAATGTAAGTTTTTTCATTCCACCATTTATAAATCCTGGAAATCGATATGAAGCAGTTGTTTGAATTAAACTTTCTGCCATAATTTTATTACAATTCTCATGATTTGAGGTTAAGAAATTGTTTTCACAAATATTGTATAATGCAACATTATCATAGACTGTTACAATATCTACAGTTTCAATCATTTAGTGCATTACAAATACTGTATTATATATTTCCAAATTACTATGTGTAATTCCTTAAGAAAACACAGGATTACAATGAACTATTTTAGTTAAATCTTTTTCACGAAAGTATTATATAAGATTACTTGCAATTCCTGAACCACTTCCACCTCCTGTTGAAAAAAACATCATAATACCTTAAAGATTGTCTGATGTTTCAAAATATTTATCTAAAATATGTTTACATTCATCCATCAATTCAGCTCCTTCAGTATATTACCCTGTAGCATAACTATTATTACTTCCACAATTCTTTGAAAAACAACAATTAGGATCAATAATCACATCTTTCTATAAATGTAATCTATCAATCGAACCTAATCATATTAAATTATATTACTTGGTTCTAAATCTAAAAATAGACATCTAGGTATATATTGCTATCGAGAATTTTCATTATAAAAAACATTAATTTTTTACTTATATCTATCTTAATTAATTATTTCTTAGACATTATTTAAACAATGATCATAATTTAATTATTTTATGAATTCCACTCCTACATTTATTCCACATTGTCCTATTCCTATTATTATTATTTCTTACATATATTAAAAATATAAACTTTATTTTACATTTAAATCATTTAAATATTATATATATTTCAATTCTTATCAAAATTTAATATATTTTATACAGAGTATGTATAAATTTATCATTCTTATTATTATAATTTATTTATCAAAATCAACTTTATTTCTCATTATCTTTTTGATGCCATTGTTTAAGAAAAATGGATTAAATTTTTCAATTAATTTAACTTTTTTTATTAATTACATGTCATCTTAATCATTTCTGGCATCTCAGTAATTATTAAGAATTTATCAGCATTCTTAAAATAATTATTAATATATTTACTTTTATAATAGATTCTAATACAGAACCTATTTAATCTTTAAGACCTTTTTTCTTTTTATAGCAATCTTTAAACTGTCTACAAAATGCTTCTTGATTTGTTATTTTTTCCTAAATTACATATAAAAAATGAATATTTCTTGATAACTTATGTTTCAATTTCAATTCTAATTTAATTTAAATTATTTCAGAATCTGAAACATTTAACTAATAAAATCAATATTTTTTTACACTAATCTAATTCAATTTATTATCATACTCTTTTAAAGGACTTTAAAATATTTATCGAATTGTGTCTTCCTTAAAATTCAATATATTGTAATGTAAATTTAAATCTGATAAACCACAAAATTGATTTTCAAAAGATTACATGCATTCTATTACTTTTACAATAAATTATAAAAAAAAATCACTTGGTTTACGAACTATAAACATTACTATTGACTATAAGATTATATGAAATTAAATACATCTTAATCTTCTGCACATTTTTTCTCTTAATTCAATATCTAATTTATCTTTACATATTAATCATCAGATACTCTTTATGTTTAAAATATAGCTGAAATTTCATTGCTATTAAAAGGATATGATTTATATAAATTTTTTATAGATTTACAAAGAACTTAAATGAAAAACACATATGTATGCTTCAATAATTCAGAGCTTAAGTCTTCATTTACGAATTATTTACGATGAATAATTTAATCAAATCTATTACTGTTTTTTTATATGAAAGCTTAAGATTTCTTATTTTCAGACATAAGAATTTATTAATCAGATCTAGAATTAATTTCTATATATTTTTAATTTCTGATAATGTAATAAGGTTCATAATTTTGATCATAAACTTTTTATTTTTAGACTAGAATACATAACTATTTTGAACATCTTTTAAAACAATTAAATTATTCTTAAAGAATACTCAATTAAAAGAATTTCTTATTCGATTATTAATTTAAAAAACCGTTTTAATTTTCAATATTTTTTAACTATTTTTCCAGTAATAAAACTTCATCATTTATAGGATTTAAAGTTTGGTTAATTTCATTTTTTTATGATTCTAGTTAATTAATCTCTAAATTAAGTTTTTCTTCAACTTATTTTTGTTAATTAATACAATCCTTAATTTTTTCTGACAATAATGTTATTTTAGATGTATTTTCTAATTCTATACCAATCTATGGAAAATTTAATTATCCATTTTATGCTGTTAATTAATTATACTCTATTCTTATTTATATCAAACTATCAATTTAATTATTTAACAGCTCAAAACATTCAAATAAGGGTTAGAAAGATTTTTATTAATTAACTTCATGATCTATAGAGCTTATTTAAGTATGTAATCTAATTAATTCACTTAGTTAATATTATTATTATTATTATTCCGTTTCTGTTTCTACATTTATTCTTGCCTTTACTGATTTAAATCTTGACTGAAATTTTGGGTAGGTTTTTTAAATTTCTACAGTATAAAGTGATGGAACAGAATTCAAATTATTTTAAAGATCTATATTGCTCCATAGAGTGATTGATTTTGAATTTCTTTCTTAAACCTTCAATGTTGGCCTATCTGCTTATGATTTTTTTTCATACATTTTAATTTTTAATCTATTAATTATATTCCTAAAATAATTGTAAATATACATTTTTATGATTAAATAAATAAATAAATTTTAATATAAAAGAATATTATTTAATCAACATAATCATGACATTGATTCTCTTTTTGATGATTAATGAGTTGAAAAGTTTTTACTTAATCTTGCCTTCTATTTATATACTTTAGCCTGTTCCTTAATTTAAATTAGCTTTTCTGGTTCTCCTTAATTAAATCTAGTAAATGAAAAAGAACTTTCTATCAATTTTATCTATAATTAAATATATTCTTTACTTCAAAATTCACTTTTTATAATAAAGATCTATTAAATTTAAATAAAGGAGATTTCTCATCTATATTTTTATTTAATAAACTTTATAATTTTAGTAATTTGCCAAAATCAAGTGACATTTTTAAATTATACACAATTAGTTTGTAAGCATCTTTAAATTTCCAAGGAATTTAACCACATTTTTAATCAAAACTAGGAAAATCAATAATCGGTTAAATTTTATCTATAAATAAATAATTATCTTACCTGCAAATAATAATTAACCATTGTTTAAACCTTCAGAAAACCAATAATTCACTTATACATTATCAAAGTTTCCATTTATATTAACTACAAAAAATTCTCCATCCCCTTAATTTTTTTCTTAATAATCAATCAATAAATTTTCATTATTAGATTCGAATAATAAATCATCTATAAAATCAGGCATCCTTAGGTTTATTTTTTACTTTTTTAATTTTAAGCTTGCTTTGTCAAATTTAATAATAATTTGATTTGAACCTAAAGAAGTTTCTGGTATTATTAATTATGAATTTTAGATTGATATTTTGTAATTAAAATTATCCTTTTCTTTAAGAAAATCTTCTTCCTATTTTATTTGTAATTATAAATCAAAATCCTTTTAGTATTTCTCCTTCAATTCATCTAAGTTTTTTTCTAAAATTTCTTCGATTCTTTATTAAAATGCTTCTAATTCCTTAATATATCTTGAAATTAAATAGAATTTAACATTTTTAATGTATAATACTTAATTTTCTAATTTAAAAATAAAAGGTTATTAATTATCAATAGGTTCTATTAAATTTTAATATAAAATTTATTCATTATTAATATTATGAGGTTTCATTTCAATTTAAGATAGTGATAATTCTAAATTAGTTTGGTTTTTTTTCTTGATTTATATTTGATGAAATTAAAAGGCAAAAAAATCTTATTCTAAATCTTATAATTTAATAATTAAGGAATCAACATATAATTCAATAGCATACTTATAAGGTGTTTTTTAATTGTTAGGATTTTTTGCAAATAAATTAATAGCAAAAGATTTTTCTCTATATTCATTAATAAAAAGTTCTTGTAAAAAAATAAATTTTAATAGGTGTTACTTTAAAGATATTGATTCTTCAATATTGATTAAATAGAAACTATTGATAGCTATTAATAAATCTTAAATTTTTTATTAAGAAAGAATTATTTTTGCCTATTCAATTTACAATTTTATAATAGGATATGAATTTTAAAATAATAAAGTAATATGTAAAGCATATGAAGTACCTGTTTCTTTTCCAGGCATAACTAATAGATTTTCTTTTTACCTTCCCATAATACTTATTTAAATTTCATCAACTGATAAACGAAGTTCTTCCTTTTATTTTTTAACAATTATAGTTTTGATATCAACTTATGATACTTAGTTAAAATTAAATTTAATAAAATTACATCTTATAACTTAATCTTCTTCATTAGATATTACAGATTATCGATTTTTTTATGACTAGGAACTTCTTTTTAAAAGAGAATTTCCTTTAATATTTCCCATTAAATTAACCTAAATGAAGGCTCTTAATTAACTTAATTTAAAGAAAGTTTCATTAGATTATAAATAAATATTTTAAATAAGAGCACAAACAATTAAGTCATCAAGAAGTTTTAATGGATTTTATTTAAATTGTAATTTTTCTCTTTATTATTTTATAAGATCTTTATTAATTAAATTATAAGCATTTTCTTAAATATTCTTAATTGTTAAAATATTTTTGATTATAGTAATAAGATTATTAGTGGCAAATTAATTAGTAAAAATAACTTTAATATTATCAATTCCAAAAAAAAGTTTAATTTTAGAATTTTTATCTGTTTAATAATCATCAATTACACATGAAAGCATTTAAGACTTTAAAGGTCGATTACAATAATAAAGTAAATAAATTGGAGTTTAATAATAGATAGATGATAAATTGTTTGATTATTACATTAAATCTTTTTCTTTATCATCATATATGATAAATTCTTAATTAAACATTTCTTTTTCTTGATTTCTACAATAAAAAATAAATTTATCATCTAGTTTGTCACTTAATAGATGAGAATTTTGAACTAATAATGATGGTTAGAAAATAATATAATTAATATCAGAATTTCTTTCATCTATTTCATCTTAAGAGTATTATTCAAATGATTATTATTTTGATCTCATTTATTTAAGAGATTTATTTCTCTCTAATTGAGGATGTTAAATAGAAACTTATTCTAATTTATACATACTATTTTAATGAGATGCATCACTACTTTAAGGTGTTTTTTAACAATGAATAGCAATAGTATCTTTAAAATATCCTTTATCATGAGTAATTATAAATAAAGGCATTTCAATAAGTGTAATATAACAAATACTGTTTCTAGATTTTGGAGTACTAGAAAATTAGATTCTAATTCCATCAATTCTTTTCTTTTCTTTTAATTATTATTATTATAGAGATTTAAATCGATCTTTTATTTTCTTTTGATCTATCAATTTATTCTCTATTTCAAATAATGTAAATAAATTAATATCATTATTCATTTTTGGCATTACTCCAAATATAATATTACTTAAATAAATACTCTTTCTATATTTTATTATACAATGTTTACAATCCTTCTTTTGTTTTTTATGCTCATTTAATAATAATTATAATTCTGCTCTTATTAAACTATCCTTACTCATAGAATATTTATTTTCCATAAACTTTTATTATTTTCCTTTATCAAAACTTTTATTTAAAATCATTAATAGCTCAATAAAACAAATCTATGAATCATTTATTTATAAATCTAACCATGGAAATTAAATATAAATCTTTTTATCAGTCAATAATGGATGATTTTTAATTAGAGAGTCTAATTAAAATAAAATGAACTAAGATTTCAATATATATGATTTTATTCCAGATATTTTATTTTTTGGTTAATTTTATTATATTTTTTAATCTTAATTTAATGTTGCTGAATGTTTAATTTAATGACTAAATTAAAATTACCTTTATTAATTTGTATTTTTTTAATGAGAAGAAGGAGAGTTTAATTATTCTTTACCATTTTTAAATAATTGTATTTGTTTTTCATAATTTCTCATTTCTTCATTATAATATTTGTAATCTATTGAAAAATATTTATGACCAATTAATATTTATTCTATTGAGACTTTCTTTATAAAATAATATCTCTATTAAAGGATGAATGCATCTTTATTTGATTAATAAAATTCTGTTAAATAATTTTAATATTCTTTATCATCCAAATTTACTGTTTGAATGTTAAGATTTTTAAATTGAATCTTTAATTCTGTCTTAATCTTTCCAGATATTGAATCAGATACTATTTTTATTTTTTGTTTGCCTTCCATTTATAAAGAAAATTTCCATTAATTTTTATTTTACATCTCTTTATTTAAAGGTTTACTTTTAACAACACATTCAAGTAATTTTTGATCTGCTTTGCATTATTTATATGATGGAGACTAAAATATTTCTTATTTTTCATATTTAATAAAATTTAGAATAGAAGAAACAGTTTTAGTAGATATCAAAGTTTAAAAAGGTTTAAATAAAATAATTATTTCATTTAATGGAGCTTATTAAATAGGTATAGTTTTATCCTTCTATATTCCTTTATGTTTATGATTATTAGAAACAATCCTATATTCAGATTATTCACCTGATAAAGATAAACAAATTGTAACTGTGCAAATATCTTATTCTTTCAATGATTAAATTGTTGGAAAAGTTAATTTTTCTTTTAAATTTTAAATACAAATTGGAAGAAGTATTTCACCATATTCTTCTATAAATGGAATAAACAAAACTCTTCTTATAATTTCAATTAATTTGCTATGAGCATTTTATATAAATAAGCTTTTATCATTATTATCACATTAAACCCAATGGTTATTTTTATCTTTTTCAGAAGAAGATATTGCAGCATTTCTTATTAATTCCCATTTTTTTTCTACATATTGTTATCTAGATATATGAATAAAACAATAATCTTCTTATTCTTGTCTATCATCAAAATATTTATTATATGACTTATATTATTCCAATGTAAAATCTTAAAAGTTATTCTTATCCTTTTCATATTCATCTAAAAACGATTTTACATTTCCCATTAAATTCTATTTTAAAAATTCTCCTAACAATTAATAACAGAGTTCACTATTTAAAAATTGTTAAGAATCATTAGTAATTGAAATCTCAAAAATTTCATTAAAGAAATCAGAATATTTAATCTAAGATTTTTTCTTATGAATATTAGTTTATTATTATTATTGAATTTATAATGATGATAAATGCTTCAAATGAGATGCTTATTAATTTATACCAGAAACTAAAGGTGATTATATGTTTATTAAAGAATCTTGTTCTTCCATAACTTTTAATAACATACCTGGAGCTATAATTCTAATATCACCAATATACATTCTATATTAAATATCTTTTGATTTCTTAATAGAAGGTGTTTAAATAGTTCCATTTTAATAAATATATAAAGGAACCCTTATACCAATAAAATTGATCATTAGAACAAACTTTTGATGATATAATTAATCATTTGTTTACTTTAATTCAAAACTATTACATTAATCAGAACTATTAGATGATTATGAAATAATTGATCCTACTCCATTTAAATCTTCAATATCTTCATAAAAACTATCAACTATTTTAGCAGTTTAAAATGATTTATCTTCATTTATTTTCTATGTTTCTTAATAAACTTAATTAAAACTATTATTATAAGATGATTATCTTGATTTTTTTCTAGAATAATTCGTCTATTTTAACAAACGAATATGATATTTACACTAACAAAATTAAAAAATCTTTGTATTTTCAGGTGTGTATTTAACATAATTACTTATTCTTTATTCAAATAATAATATGAAAATAGAATGAATTTCTAAAGTAAATTATATTTTAATTTAATCAGGATGATTATTTTCTCCCTTTAAATAACTTTATAAAACATTAGTTTTATCTCTTTCTAAAATTTCATATAAACTAATTTTTTCATCTAATTCTAATTCAATAGGAATATCATCATTCCTTTTAGTATGATCTTTAAATGAATTTTGATTATTTATTGTATTTGTCCAAATTTCTAATAAAGGTTTAACACTTTATTTATTTTAGCCATCCTTAGATGAGTTATAATATCTTTTAGCTTCTATTCTTATTTCCTAAAATGCCCATTCTCTATATTTTAATAGATCTTTCAATGATAATTCATCTTCACATTTTGCTATTTTAGATTCATCTTTTGTTGTCCAAGATGATAACCATGGAACTAAAATTATAGTTTATTTTCTTTTATATAATTCAATATATCGTTTCATTAAAACTAATTTTTTTGAAGAATAACTTAAATCTAATTTTTTAATCTTTTATTTAAGAATGGTAGATTTAATTAAATATTTCCACCATTCTGAATAAGAGGCCTTTTAAATCTCCTTAATTGGTCTAAGATGAAAATTATCTTAAATCACTTCTTAACATTAAAGGGTTTCATTCAATTTAATTAAATAATCTTTTTAATTCTTATTCAATTAAATTATTATAGGAGATTTTATCAATATTTATAATATTTAGATTGGTTGAGTTAACTATTCATAATTTCTATTTATCATATATTTAATTTCAATATCTATAGGTGTTAATATCATTTAATCTTCTTTTTTTTACAATTTATTAAAAAGGTCATTTTTAAAAGAGATACTCAATTTTTTAATTTCAATCAATTTATATGTGCAATTAAGATCATTATTGAATAATTATTTAAAGTCCTTATCAGTTGCTTTTATTTAAGCATCAAATTTTATTCTTAAGATTGTTTCATAACCAAAAATTGAATGATTAAAAAATCTAAAATTAAACTACTTAATAGTTATAGTTAAATTATTGTATATTCCATCTACTATTTTTTATATCCAATTTGGTGGAGATAATTTTTCGAAATATTTTGCCATTTATTCTTCCCACAATTTAAGTTTATGTTTCTTTAAATTTTCAATTCCTTAAGTCTGATGATCCTTGTTATTTGCAAATTTATTAGCTTCTTAAATAGTACAAACAAGAAGATCAATTCCATCTATTATAATTTCTGGTTGTTATTTTTTGTAATTTAAAGGCATCTTTAAACAATAATATTAATGAAACTTACATTAAGGGTGATCTAATCGATTTTTCCATCTATTATATATAATGGGAATTTGAAATTTAGTAATGCTTATTTTTTGATGCACAAATTCTTCAATACTATATTTGACGAAATTCCTAAAGAAAACTTTAAAATAAGGAACTTATTACTTTAGCCATGTTATTTTAAGAGAAATCTTACAAATATTCTAGAAGATAAGATTAAAGTCTTTTAATAAAATATTCTTCAATATCCTTAGCCATTTAACTTATTAAATTTAATCATATATAATAACGATTATATAAAATAGATTTTTTTATTAGAAAGATGTTTTGAATTGAATTATAATATAGAAATAATAATCCTAATATAATAATAAAGATTTTATTTTTAAATAATAATATTATAGTGAAAATGAAGATGATTATAGGACAATTTTAAACATAATAATATTTTATACTTCAATACTTCATCATTTTGGATAAAGGATATCATAATGTCCAGGTCTATACAATAAATTAATGAAAATAGAATTTGGATTTGCATCTTCTGGAATTTAGAAAATAGTAGCATCAAAGGTGGCTACATTACCATCTAAATAAAAAATTCTGATAGGAATTTATAAATAATTTTGCAATGCTATAATTTACATCTATAAATTATATAGATTTTCTTACTTAATCTGCTTCTCTATCAATAGGATCCACTTCTTATTAACAAAATAATTCAACAGTTCCAGTTTCTATATATCCTTCAAATAAAAATGAATTTGCTTTGATATATCCAGATGTCAACATTCTCATATACATAATAAGATAATCTGATGTAATTTTATTACAGAAAGCATCAACTATTCCTTATATAGTAATATTGTTAGGACATAGTTTAATTTATTTCATTATTTCCTACATAAATACTTTTGCAAATTTACATCATAAAAATCATCAATAACAATTGATTCATATCCTACAGCTTTTAAATCTGTCTTTGAATTAGTTATAATAGTGCTGAACTTATTTAATAGTTGCTAATCTTTTAATTAAATAATTTATTCAAAAATTCTAAACAGAACCGCTCTATAGAAACAACTACCATCTCTTCTTACTCTTCTGAAAAATGGATAAGATTCACGGATTTTCTACAAATTCAACATTTTAACTTACTTAAATCTTTTATAGAAAACCTTAATTTTCTAAATATTCTGATTCTAGTATTTGTAATTCTATTGGTTAAGTAATAATAAATGGATCTTATGCCTCTATTTCATTTTTTATAGTATCCAATTACTTTTGGTGATACTCATATAATTCTTGATTATATGCATATTGATTCGATGATTATTATTATTAACTCATTATTACTTTTAATTATATATTTTTTAAGTATAAATTATTATTTTTAATTCATTACTATCTAATTTGTTTCATCAATGATGAACAATTCTCTTTTTCTTTTCTGAAAAACAATGTTTTCAAGTAATATAATTTATTATTCATTATTAACTTTTTTAGATTATTATATCCAAACTTTAAATTTATTTTTTAAATTGATGGACTTAATAAAATAAAGAATAAACTTAACCATTTTTCATAATCCCAAACTTTATTCCCAAATAACAAAATATAAATTTTTATACATTTTCTCTTAATTACAATTTTGTTAATCTGCTTATAATAATTTTATTTATAAATAAAATGTTTCATTCTATTAATGACGATCCATTAACTTTAAGTCAATCGAAAATTGAATAGTTTGAACTAAAACTTACTTCTGACATTTAATTTTTATTACAGGTTGATTTTAATTTTAACTCCCCTAAAATCTAGATTGCAATGTAAAATCTCAATTTTACAGAGTAAGATCTAATCTAAAAGAAATTCTCTTATTTTTTAATTTAAGGAGAAGAAAATAATATAACTGAATAAAGGTATCTTTATCATCTACATTAAATTGCACAAAGAAGAAAACTATTAGTTAAAGAAAGAAATAAAATAAAAAAAGAAGAAATTGAATTATAGAAAAATGATTAATTGTTTAATACTAGATATTATTCACAAACTGAAAGTTTCCTTAATAATAATATTGAAAATGCAATATCTTTATTAGATAAAAGAATAGAATTATAGTAGATTAAAAAAGATAAAACACAATTAATTCTTAAGAATAAGATAAGGGAATAAATTGAAGAAGAATTAAAAATAATGAATGAAAATAAATTATAAGACGAACAGAATTTAAGAATCAAGAAATTAAAAAAATAAAATCTTTAATCAATAAGTGATAGAGCACATTCTTTTAATCTTAAAACTTAACAAATAGCAAAAAAACATCAATAATCTATCTAATTAGAATAAGAAAAAGCATTTGAAAAATAAAAAGAAATTCTTTAAAATAGTTAATTTGAGTAAAAAATCAATTATTTTTAGATTAGATGATTCAGAAAGAAAGTATCAAAATAAAATTAAATAGAAAGAAAAAATGTTGAAGGAACTACTTAAATTAAAATAAGTAAATGATAGAATTAAGTAAATTAAACAATAAGAAATTTAGTAATGTAGTGAATTATACACAAGAATATAATCTAAATTAAATAAATCTCATATTAATAGACTAAGTTTGTATGATAATAATAAGGCAACAACCATTCCATAAATAATTTAATCCTATCATAAAGTTGATGAATCTTAAAAAAATTTAGAAAAATATATCTAAAAATAGACAAAATATATTAGTAATTCTAAAGATTCATAAAGATAATCAAAATTAAAAAAAAGAAAAAATATCAAATAATATATTAATTTAGATAAGTAAATTAATTATACCAAAATTGAAGAAACATATCCAGATAAAATAAGTAAACAAATATCTCCTTAATTAAATAAAAACACCAAATCTCGAAGTTTAGTTAATTTAGATAAAATCAATCTCTAATAATTAGAAAAAGTTAATAAAGTACTTGAAAAATAAAGATCAAGTAACATTCTGTAAACTTAAATTAGAGAAAAAAAATAAATTCTTAGAGAAGCAAGCAAAAGTAATTTTTAATAGAGAACTCTATTTTAAGAATTTTAGAATGATTTATCTAAAATTAAAAACAATGTTTCAAAAGAATTTTTGTTTAAGTAAATTTCTAAATGGGATTGTTTAGATTTAGTAAATAAGTATTACAAATGAATTATTTATATTGGTTTTATAATATAATATAATATCAATATTCATCCTCTTATTATTGATTTAAATGTTAAATAGAAATGTATTAGGTTTAAATAGGTTAGATATCTGATTACATAATTATCTAGTTTTCTGATTTTAAATTTAATGCTTTTTATAATTACATATCAGGCTAAACTTATTTATACAAGTAAAAAAGCAATGAATACTCCTAAAATTCTTTTTTTAAATAAATCTTATTATTTGGTCCTAATAATCTCACAATATATATGCTCATCGGAATTTCTAAATACAAACTATTCTAGGTATTATGATGAAAATCTTTAAATTTTAATGGATTAATAATGGGGTAGTGTTGGAATTCACTTTTGGAAGTCTTAATTTTAGTTTTATAAGTTATTTTTATTGCAAAAGTATCCTCTAAATTTGAATGCTCTTCCTATAAAGTGATGATTATTTTATATGCACTCTTTTCCATTAAATAAAATAGTAAATTTAAAAATAATTACCTTATTTTGCCAAAATTGGAATAAATTAATTAACTTTTTAATTAATTAATTAATTCTATCGAAGATTAATTTTCAGGATTTAGACTTTTAATTATCGAGATTACTTAATTTACTAACTGAACTATATTAAAAGATACTAAAGGGTTAACATCCTAAGGTATTTAAACAAAATCTATTATATTCATAAAAGAATTCCAGGCTTTTATAATCTAGCCTTATTGCTTCAGTAAAATTAATTAAACTTATTTAGATAACTTTTGTAGATTATTTTTATTATTGATAAAAGAGGCATCATTCATACATTATTTCAATGAAGTATTGAGAATATTCATCAAATATTTTATTATTAGATTTTAATTTTTATATTTAAGTTTCAATTATTCCATCTGAGTTTTAGCTTATAATTATTTTATAATAATTAATGATTATGGATGAGTATGATGATGGAGTTTGTAAACAACAATATGCTAAAATTATTAAAATTGTTATAATTACATTTAAAGTATCATCAACTATTCCATCTAATTCGACTTTTTATTGATATTATTTTAAAAATTCAATTAATCTTTAATCATTAATTTTTTAAGTTCTATTTAAAAAATAATATAAAAAAAGCTCAAGAGATAACTTTCCTTAAAAATTGAAAATATACTAATCTACAGATCTTAATTTTTATTTCGGACGTATAATAATGTTTCTTATTCTTGATTTGAATTCTAACTATTAAAATTCATTAACCTTTTATTTAGTTTTTGGATTAATCAATTAAATTGATTTAGATTCATCACAATATTGAACTTAAAATGTTTCCATCATTTATTCTTTTTCTATAAAACTCTAAACAATAGTATCACAATATAAATTTAAAAATTATTTTCTTTTAATAATTTCTTACTAAAATTAAATCTAAATATCAAGAAGTAACATAATAGAAAATTTTAAACATTATGACCAAAACAGATTAGAATCATGAGGACCAACTGCTAAATTAAAACCAAATATTGGTATCATCATGAAATATCTAATTTTGATATCAAATGAGTTTATAATTCTAGTATGATTTAAAATCTTACGCAAGAGTTCCTAAGCAAATAAAGTAACCATCTAGGTAGCTGTCTTAATTTGGGGGAATTTTCATTAATCGATTGAAAGGGTAAAAAAAATTAAAAAGCTCTACAATAACAAGTAATAAGTATTTATAATAGATTGATGTTTTGCTTACATAAACATAAGACACTATTATAAAAATAAATCCGAAAGCATTAAAAGCAAATGAAGACCAATTATTTTCCAAACCTTTTTAAATTGCAAAAATTAGAAGCAATAATAAGATTAACACTTTTTAATTATGTTAAATTATAATTGTTTATTGATTCTATTTAAGAATGTATTCTTTTTCTAATTTTCTATCGAGTATTTTGTGAAAAAATAAAGTCATAATAATTTATATAATAAATTTATATTTTTTATTTGGAGATCAGATATATTAAAAAAAAATTATAGAAATGGAATGTTATTAAAAAAGGTTAGAATCAAAAACAATCATCTTATTATGCTTAAATAATTCTTTATAAAATGACTTTTTCTAAGCCCATAGAATTTCTGAACATTATTTATTCATTCAGTCCAAATTTTTTTTTTACTAGATTTGAATGAGGAAATATCTCATCCATATATGAAAATTCCTCAAAATTAAAATATGGCTTAAAGTCTTGTCTTCTTGAATGAATTTATGATAGTTTATATTATTATAACTTATTTGCTTATTAAACATAATTGCATATCTGTTATTAGAGTTTTGTTTTGTCCTTAGTATTAAGATTAATTTAATATGAAGGTCTCGGCATTTTTGTAGCTTTTGGTTTTGGTATTTTATCTACATTCATTTTTTATCTTCTTAATTTATTAATAACTTATGTGGGAGGTAATCTAAGTTATCTTTATTGATGTAATTAACTTACCATATTATCATAAGAGTCATTTTCGGTTTTTAAATATTGATCAATTTATGAATTCTTATCATTTCTAATATATTAAGTGATTGATCCTGTCTTATTTTATTTAAAGTATAATTATGTTTTTGATGTCCCAAGAAGTTGTTTTTAGGTTTAATTCTCAAGAAATATTATTGGAAGAATTTCATTACTCATATATACAAAATAATAATAATTATGATTATTGAATTTTTAATAAAACATTATAAAATATGATTAAATCAATTTGATATGTCAGAATTAAATGAATTTTATCTAAATTATTAAATAGGAGAGTCTAATTATGCACCATTTTAATAATCATCATCCATGTCACAAATACTTAATTGTAAATTTCCTTTTTTTAAATTGTCTAATTATTCTTCTTGATCACTGTTCCATTCCATTGAATTATCTAATTTAATTATATTTAATTTTACTTAATGATTATTATCTTTAAATATGATTTTTTTATTTATTTAACATTAAAGCCTCTCCTTTTTATTCAAATAATTAAGGTTTGCAAATTTCTTTAATTTAATTTAAATCAGTAATAACAACTTCTAATGCTTTTGAAGCAATAAAATGAGATTATTCTATTTCATCAATCATTTTATTTAATGATTATTAGGCTTAATCATATTTTTTAGTTTTTGCTAATTCTTTAGCAATTCCAATAATATTACCAGCTTTAGCTCTTAAATAATTAACTTCTACTATCTCTTTTGGTACATAAGGAATATCTTATTATGAAAATTATATGTTAAGTTCTTATTATTTTGTAAAATTTGTTTTTAATTCTATGAATTCACCAATTAAATGAGTTCTTAATACTTTTTCATTTTAGGAATTAATTTTATTGCTTGATGGTATTTCAATTTCTAAAGCAAATTCTTTATTCTCTCCTTCTAATAAATAGTTCAAATTCATTTGATATTTTGACTCTTGAATTTTTTTCCATAGAAAATCATCCCCATAGAGTTTTTTAATAGGATATTTAGGATTTTCTTCAATGATAAACTTAACATTTTTAGCCAAAACTGATAACATGCCACTCATTGCTAAAATAAAATGTTCAGAAGCCTTTATTAATAATAAAAAATTACTTTATTAATATTATCAATAAAGGTAAAAGTACCACCTTTCAAATTTGATATATTATTCATAACCTTTGCATCATGATCCTATCCATATCCAAAAGAATTAATCACAAATGTATCTTAAATTTAATATTCATTTATAGCTTGTTAACATCTATCATCTGCTCCTTTATTATCATCTTATCCATCTGTTAATACAAACATACAAGTAACTGGATTTTTATATTTTCTTTATTTAATCATTCTTAATCCTTATTTTACACCCTCTGCAATATTTGTGGAGTCTCTAATTTTCATTCCAACTATAGCATCCTTAATTTTTTATTTATTTTCTGGTTTATTCCTTGTCCAAGGTAAATTAATTGCTGAATAAGTTCCAAATGTTACTAAAGATATTCTAACATCATTATAAATTATATATACCTATCATTTGGACTCAAAATTTTTTAGATATATCTTAATGAATCTTTAACTAAGTTAATTTTCTAACCTTCCATTGATCCACTTACATCAACTACACAAATTAAATCTATATTTGCTTTTGCATGCTTTTATTGTGATTTTATAGCTTAAACTTGTAATACCACTGGAAGTATTTGAGGAAATTAACTTATAGTAACAACATCCTATCTTGCTATCATATTTATATGAATCCTTTCTATTGTTTCTCCTACTTTTGCATCAATATCAATATGTTCATTTTAAGTCTATTCTATAATTTATTATTCTGCAATTTCTTCTTCCAATTATTGTGCTGCCTCCTCATTTATATTTTGAGAATTTTAACTCACAGGTATTTATTATGTTAATTTTAAATGCAATTATGGAGTTAGTTATTGCTTATTAGATTGTTATGATTGTTAGCCACCTTAATTTTGACTTTAAATATTTTATTTAGATTATTTCTAAGCAGAACTTTTTGAAGAACTTGGTTTATTTCCCATATTTTATTTTATTTTTTCATTACAGACAATTTATATAGAATGTAATTCTGATAATTTCTTTTCATTATAAATATTTTTCACTAAACATAACATTATACATAACCCACAATACTCTACTAGTAAAATATATCATGTATATGTTTTTACTTTAAATCAGACCTTTAGTAATCTCTTTTCAAACTATAAAACTGATGATCTTATTTATATACATTTTGATAAAATATTCGTAAATATTTATGAAAAATGAAATATAAACTTATAAAAAAATAAAATCAATACAATAAACTTATATAAAAATAACATGAAAATATACTTTTATTGTTTTATGAAAAATTATTAATAAATGTATA